TGGGTCCTCAAGAAAGTCTCCAGGGGCCAGAGCAAGAAGTTCCAGTGACTGAGAGTCAGAAGAGGCTGCTGATGAAGGTCCACGTCAACACAGGCCATCCTCCTCTGCCCCAGTTTCTGAGGATGCTGAGGGCAGCTGGGACGCACGATCATATCCTGAAGTTCGTGAAGAACCAGTTCAAGTGCGACCAATGCAGCGTTCCAGGACAGCCGAAGACCCACCGGAGAGCACAATGTCCAAGGTCGTTTGCCTTCAACAAAATAGTGGCGGTGGACATTTTCTACGTCAGTTACAAGAACTCCAAGATCCCAGTGCTCAACATGATCTGCACCGGAACCAACTACCACGTGGTGCAACGACTGGAGGTGGAAGAAGGTCTGAGAGGTGGAACTCCACGGGCTTCAACTGTGTGGCAGCACTTCCTGGCTTCATGGGTCCGATTCCTTGGAGCACCTCAGATGGTCATCTCCGACAATGGCAGCGAGTTCAGAGGAAGGTTCGAGCGGGGATGCGAGGACATGGGCATTCTTCAGCATCTTGTTCACCCCGAACAACCCTGGCAAAACGGGCGTGCAGAGCGCCACGGAGGATGGTTGAAGCAAAAGCTGGACAAGGAGATCATGTCCGGTCAAGGATGCATCCTCGATGTCCGAGACCTTGACGAGCTGATGAACGGCATCACAAGCGCCAAGAACAGATGGTTCGCTCGCGGGGGCTACACGCCCACTATGCTGGTCTTCGGCGAACTTCCAAGAGTTCCGGGTGAGCTGATGTCTGATGACGTGCCCGGGATCCTGGGCCTGGATGACGCTCTGCAGGACCTTTCTGGAGCCGATGAGGCATCAGCAGAATTCAGAAGAAGGCATCACATCCGGGAGCGGGCTCGCCAATTGGCCATGGAGCAGAACAGCAAAGAAGCCATTCACCGAGCTGCCCGTGCTTTCACACATCAGCAGGTAAGCTGGGCTCCAGGGCAATGGGTGTATGTCTTCCGAAAAGGTCGCCAAGGTCAAGAATTACATCCTCGAGATCGATGGGTGGGTCCCGGAGTGGTTTTGCTCTGCAACAACTCGACGGTCTACGTGGCGATGAAGTCGAGGCTCTGGAGATGTGGAGTCGGCCAGCTGCGAGCCGCACTGCCTGCGGAGGTCCTCGGAAGAGAGCTTGCGTCAGACCCAGGGCTCACTGAACTGCTTCGCCAAGTCACATCCGGAGTGCACACCGGAGCAGTCGACGTGTCTCGTGAAGGACCACCTCCTCAACATGCCCTGGACTCCGGACAGATTGAGAAAGTAGACGGGGTTGGACAGCTACAAGAGCCGCCACGACCATCAGCCGGGGCCTCCACTACGGCACAAGAGGCGCAACAGAGACCTCCCATCTCCGAGAATGTGGAAAGATCAGAGACCGCTGTGACACCTGGACTCCTACGAGGAGGAGAGTCATGGAGAGAGTTCAGGAGCTCGAGCAGGCCAGAGAGAGGTCTCCCCGGCGACAGAACATCACCGATGAAGAAGATCAGCTGATCTCTCAAGGCACCTCAGCTTCCTACTTCGCGCTCCAGTTCGAGGACGATGAGGGCCCCCAGCTGACGCTGCTGGCGAAGCGAGGAGATGAGGTGTCCCTGAAGCAGCTTTCAGAGCAAGAGAAGGAGATGTTCTTCAAGTCAGATCAAGCCGAGTGGGAGGCCATCCTCGGCACCAAGGCAGTGAAGGTCCTCCTCGGAAGGGCTGCCGATCAGGCTCGAAAAGAACATCCCGAGCGCATCATCACCAGCCGAATGGTGAGAAGGAAGAAGCCTCAGCCGGAACTTCACAGCTGGAAGGCCAAGTCTCGCTGGTGCCTCCACGGACACGTTGATCCAGACACCGGGGAGCTAGTGACCTATGCTCCCACTCCTCAAGCTGAAGGAATGGCCGCCTTTCTCCAGGTGGCCGTGAACCATCACTTTACCACCTCCTTCGGAGACGTGAAGAACGCTTTCTGCCAGAGCGACAGGCTTCAGAGGAAGAAGGGACCCATCTTCGCCGAGCCGTGCGAAGGCCTGAACCTGCCAGCTGGAGCGCTCATCGAGGTGTTGGTTCCCGTCTATGGGCTGGACGACGCCCCTGCGGCTTGGAGACAAACAGTAGTCAACTTTCTGACTCAAGAAGGGTATGTTCGTAATCTGGTGGAACCCTGCTGGTACTCCAAGTTCAATCAGAAGACCGGCGAGCTTGAGTCACAGATACTCATCGAGGTCGATGACATGATCGTCTCCAGCAACCCGGCCAAGCACCTGGAGGTGAAGAAGCTCCTCACCACACGATTCAAGTTCGGCAAGTGGGAAGACCAGGAGGCCGAATACGCCGGAAGGCACATCAGATGCTGCGACGATCGCATCCTCCTCGACCAAGGGAAGTACATCACCGAGCAGATCCACCCCGTGGCTCTGGCGCGAGGCCGCAGATCCCAGAAGAGCGAACGACTCAATGAGGAGGAGTTCAACAACTTCAGGTCCTTGATCTACAAGATCAACTGGGTAGGTCGTGAAACCCGCCCGGAAGTGGCGGGCACCGCTTCCATCATGGCAAGCCGGCTCAAGACTGCCTGCATCAGCGATGTCCTTACGGTGAACAAGGTCGTGAACTTCCTGAGGTCGACGGCTGATCGACCCCTGACCCTGTGGCAGTTCGAGCCGAAGAAGATGAGCTTCATGGTATGCAGTGATGCCGGAGGAGTGAACTCCAAAGAAGAGGCCGTGGACGAGATCGGCCTTCCGAGCGACGCCACCCAGGGAGCCTGGATGGTGATGACCTGCGAGAAAATGCCAATCGGCACTCAGCCAGTGAAGGCCTCGCCAATCGCCTGGCGCTCCTCCAAGCTCAAGAGGAAGGTGTTCAGCACTTTTGGGGGAGAGACCCAGGCTCTGCTTCAAGGGGTCAATGAGGTCGACTGGCTCCAGATCATGATCCGGGACGCCACCTTTGGCGACGTCCAGCTCAAGAACTGGCGCAACAGTCTGTCGCCGCACATGGTCGTTATGAGGCATCAGGTTCACCTTCCACACCGGCAACCTCAATGTGCAGTCACCGATGCCAAGAGCCTATATGATTGCTTACTACGTGAGCATCCCAGCGGAAAGCAAGATCGCAAGTCGGCCCTCGAACTTGCAATCGTCCTCAAAGACCTCCAGGACACCAAGTCCATGATCAGGTGGGTGCCCCATCAGAAGATGGTGGTGGACGCACTCACCAAGGAGAGCTTCGACCGAGGGAGCGGGGCACTACTTCAATTTCTCCGAAGCGGGTGGATTAGCCTGGTTGATGTGTCCACTGAGCTCCTGAACCGCAAGGAAGATGCTTCTTTTAGGAAGCGGAGCTTCAAGGCCAGCTCCGACCGGCTCGCCCGCGAATACCAGCGGCAGACCGAGCTTTTTTGCACCCGTGCTTTGGCAACTCTAAGTTGGGGGAACTGTGAAACCAAGCATGAGGAACCATGCACCAGAGGTTGACCTGTTGCCAAAGCATGTCACTTTCGCCACCCGCAATTCGCGGTTGGCTCAAGCCCGAAACGCCCCGCAGGTGGAAAAGCTTCCTGCGTTTGCTTTTGAGCATGTGCTGTTTGTTCCATGGAACCTGCTAGAGCGACATCTTTCTTTTCCTAATCATCCCAATCTTTCCTTTTTCCTCTTACTTGCGCCAGGAGCGTGTCGCTTGTGACTAGTGTGCATGAATTCCTAATTGGCAGATAATCATCCCAATCACAGAAACCATCTTGTCTTCCAATCTCTTTCGTCTCTTTCCTTATCATCCCAATCATCTCAATCCAAAATCTTTCCTAATCTTGTCATCATCGCATCATCCATCATCAGGTCATCACCTTTATTAAGGGGATGTGGTCTCCAATACCTCCAATCTCCAACCTTGTTGACCTTGAAGGGGGGGAGGGGGGTTGATTCATCCTACGTCGACATGAGTGGTCTTTTGACGGAAGTTCCTGAAGACTTCGGAAGTTCCTGAAGACTTCGGTGGTGGCCAATAAAGCTGGCAATCCAGGGAAAGCATGTTCACACGCCGGGAGTTTTTGCGAACGGGATGGGGGATGGAAAGAGATGGAAAAAGGGTAAGGGTCAACCTTTAGTTCCAACGAAACGGTTCGGGAGTCAGAAGTGGATAACGTCTCATGGACAAGGTCGAGGTCCGACGTATTTGTGTCCGTTGCCACTGTCTCGTTACGTTCAGCGACCAAGACCTTTGCAGAATCATGAAGTATCATGCATTAGGAGTGGAAGAAGCAGGCCTGAGGTTTGCATTCAGAATTTAAGTTTGATGTTCCAGTCACATTGTGTAGAATCTTTACGTCGAACGTCTTTTTTGCGATGCAGACGTAGTAAAGCTCGATATATAGCTTGAAAACTCCAGGCAAGAGAAGTAAGATACAAGCAGGACCAATCTAAGATACCAATTGGGACGATGGGTCGAACGTCGAATACCAGCATTGTTTCACGTCCAAAGAATCCGATCCATTTTGCAATCAGATCTTCCGGGGCCAGCCGACCCACCAGTATGGATATAGTATACACTCCCTGAAATAGTAATAGAAGTGGAGTGAGTTCACCACCTAGTATTTGGTATTCAGATTTCATGGTCATCCAAGGGAGGCCATGCCATCGACTTCCATGATGAGTTCAAGATCCAGTGGATCCACCTTTTGGTAGCTTAACGGACCACTCCACAGACTCCAGTCATAGAGCCAGGGGCCTCTGTGGGGGGGGGGGCTCCGAGGTTCACACATTGCCATCCACTGTGTTAAGCCGATCTGAATGATGCCTGAAGCCTTGAAAACATCTCAATGTATATCCCTATTACTTCTGAAAGTCAAAGACTATGCTTAAAATGGTCGAACTGGATGACCCGAAGTTCGGAATGTCCTGAACACTTGGCCCAAAATCGTCGAACTGGAAGTACCTAGGGATATAGGTACTCGTTTTTCTATGTGTACACTGTGTACCTCAATAGGTGGAGAGCCCGCGCTGGCCCGCGCTGCACGCCGATGTCCAAGAGCCGATGTCCAAGCCTCCTGGGCCTGCCTCCCTAGGTTTCATCACATACCAGACACGGGCCCCACATGCCATACATGGTCTGTTTGGGTGAAAACTGAACACCTTGGGATTCCAAGATGCCCACCATATGTCAATTCCGAACAACGGGATTGATTTTACGGAGGATTTTGCACTAATTGATGCTAATTGCTAAACCAGGTCAACTGTTACTTTTTTTTTGAGTTGCTTTAGATCTCTCATCAGACAAGAACTCGTGGTCGAACCAAGGTCTTGGCCGCTGTCGACCGCTTGGGTTTTGCCGGCACGTATGCCGCCTTGGCAGAGTTGGCGAGTTCAAAGTTTTGGGGGAAAAATGGGGAAAGTGTCCATTTGCCTTGCATGTTCTTGCTGGAGCAGCTGCCTGGTCCCCAGCTGGCTCTGAAAGTTGCGAAAGGGACTCATTATCAAGAACAAGTTTCTGGGCTCGAAAATATCTGGTTCTCCCTCCACGGAAAAAAGAAAACAACAAATCCTATAGGTAGTGTGGGGTAGTCCATTGGACACCCCGACAGGAGGGTCCAGGCCTCCCGGGCTCTCCCAGTAGTTGTTTGCTCTCGCGCTGTCCACCTCGGCTCGAGAGCCGTCTACCACCGATGTCTCACGATCGGAGAACGCATCGGTCGATCGACATGCACGAACGATCGACGTCTGGTGGTCGGTGGAACCGGATTGTTTCGGCGCCCGACCTCCGGATCCACCCTAAACCCTAAACCTCTCCGAAGAGTTGACCTCGTGACCCTCTTTGTCCCGGGCGTTTCGCTCGTCCAGCCACGTCCCCGCCAAACCGACACACCGCGCCCCGCGCAAAACCGCGTCGCGCCGCGCGAGACCAGTCCACGGAACTTGCGCATCCACCAGTCCACGGAACCGAGGACTTTTTTTACCTCCCCATGAATCGTCGGCATCGACAAGGGATTGGCTATGCCTTCATCAATTTTCGTGACAAGGGCTTGGCCTGGTGCTTCAAGGAGGCACGCCTGCGGGGCCAGGTGAGGAGCTCCTAGCTTCTTGTTCCTAGCAGTAAGGTCTTGTGGCCTGAGAGCCTCTTCAGAGGATGGGTGAAGCATCTAGCAGTTCTAGCAAGAACCCCCGGGCGGCATGGGGCATGGATACAACCTTGGAGAAATCCACATTTAGGCATCTTTAGGCCCAAGACACTGGCAACGACGACTTTCTAGGACCTTCGTGAATGTGAGGTGCTCAAGGACTCTTTAGTATTTGACAAATTTGATCATGATCACCCATGCTGGTCGTCAAAGGGTGGACCCTTTGCAAACGCCGATTCTCACGGCATGGACCGCCGCTATATGTACCCCGCTTTCCACGGGGGCAGCCTTTTGATTTCGGAACCAGGGACCCGGGACCCGTTCGGTGTGTGGCTTGGTCTTTGGGAACCAATTGGGAACCACCGGAGTTGACTACGCAAGGTCTGCGGCGGACGAGTGCCGTGAAAGAAGCACGACCGATGGGACTGGAAGAGGTGCCTATACTGGCCTATACCATCTTTTCACTGACCCTTGAAACCACCCCAATGTATTCCAACGTATTTATATCGATATATATATATATGCCATATATATATAATATGATAAAATGTAGTGGGGTTATATAGCTTGCCCGAGAAGAAACACCTGATGCTTTTGGCGAGCCCCACACACGCAAAGACCGTGTGGCTTGCTCAGTATTTGAATGGGAAGCAAAGAAAACCAAGTTCAGCAATCAGGCTGTCCTGGTTTCGTTTACGGGTTTGTCATGTTTTTTCAATGTCTTCCCCTGTGGAGTCCCTTCTGGACTCACGATCTCTATCCCATTTCCTTGAGCAAAGCTGTCGTGCAGAACCAGCAATCACTCGTGCTCAGTGCGTTTTCGCTTTGGAACTCTCCTCTCCTCCCTCTCCCTCCTCTGGTTCTCCTCCGTTTACCTCGCCATCTGGCGAGCCATTGGCAGGCCATTGGCGGCTACCAATTCCCTGGGCGAAAAAGCAAGAAGGTCGTGCACGTCGCCGTCGCGCAGCTCCAAGGACGACAGGAGGCGCCGAGTTCCTTCGGCCGGCCTCCGTTTTCGTCGTTGTCGGAGGACGGGTGATGTTTGTTATTTTTGATATGTTTGCCTGTTGTGCAGCTGTCGTGCTTTGTGCCTTTTGCTTTCAACCGCTGCGCCCCTGCACCCCCTGCAACCCCTCGCGCAAGGCCCACGGCACGAAAGTTTGATATACCTCTCCGATTGTCACAAAGAGACTCCCTTTGAAGAGAGTGACTCAAAGAGAGACTCCCTTTGAAGTCAGTTTGATATACAAAGAGAGTGACTCTTCCGAGTGACTTCCTTTGAAGAACGACGTGACACACCCTTGCAGAGCTCGTCCGTCCTTCCGATTCCAAGGCGGATGGGTCTCATCCCCTGGTTTCAGGTCACCAAAAAGGCCAATAGAAAAGGGCACTTGATGGGTCTCAGGTCGTGAACTCAATCAGCCGGTCCTTTTCTTTCACCCGGGACTCCAAAGCATCACGGAAATCATCCACACACTGAAGAAAGTTCACAGCACACCCTTCCCACGCTGTGCAAGGACGGTTTTGGGGGCACTGCTTGGAACCTCCCTGCACCAAAAAGGATCAGAACATCCGGCTAAGAGTATTTGTCAATTGTTTGTTTTCTGTAGACTCTCTAGACTGTGTGATACTGTGCAACAGCGAGTGAACACACAGGACGCCCAAACTGCTGTAAATAATGTGTAATAGTGAGATATGAGCCAACTCTAAAAGGACAATAGATAAACCAAATTAAATCCCAACCCCTTCTCTTTCGCAGGCACATTTTCCACCTTCTTTATATTTGCATGATTGTTTGTCGAACCTGCCCAACCTATCCATTGTTTCTTCTTAGTCTTGGCCGTCCTCTCGAAGGACATTTGTCTCCTTGTTCCCGAGACCTTGCACCCTTTCATGAAATCGACAAGAGCTAAGACGGAGCAAGATCTGGAAGAAGGGCAGTATTGACTAGCAACAGTAGTGCGGTTACTCGTATTTGCAAGAAATACACCTGCTTCAGAATCCGGGGAATATCTTAGCTGGAGCTGAGGGAAGATAAAAAATAACAGTGACTTGAAAACGATCTTCGTTTTGCCGGCCCTTGTGGCTGGGGAATGAAACACGGAGAAACCGGTGGGAACCTGGAACCGTGTGTGGGACAAGCTCCAAACGTACGATAACCCCCAACAGGTGGGAAAGAAAACCCAAGAACAAAACAACTTGAACACCTCAGAACTGAACAAATCCATTGATTTAGGATCAGCCCAGAATGCTTGAGGGGCAGATCCAATACACCCAGAGCCTAGGGAACAAGGCTCTCAGATCTTTTTAAGGTCGGACAGGCTCAAGTGCTTTCTGCTTCCCGAACTGAGTAGAGTAAGCAAAGGGTGTGGGGGTGGAGACCGAGCAATTGGGCGTTAAAACATAATGGGCCTGGTGGGGTTGATGGTTTGTGGTTGATGCAGAAGACCGATGCAAGCCACGATGGGCTTGAGAGACCATCACGAAGTCAGCAAGTGATATGGGCAAGATTGTCAATGAGCTATCCCACAAAATGTGGCAAAGAACATGTTTACAGCAATTAAAAATGCTGTTGAAAGAATGCACAGAGCAGCTGAAATTGAGAATAGTCAGCTGCTTAAAATTGCTGTGTCCAGTTATACAGTACACTTTTTGTGTGGTCCCAGCGCATGAGCAAACTGCAAAAACGGCCAGCACCCACAACATGCTTTAAAGAATGGGAAGTGTTTATTGAAACACAATACGTATCCCAAAACGATACCACGATATACCATAATATCATAGGATACCTTTCTTGAATTATAAACACTGTTTGGCATCATGTTGGTTATCATTTGCAGCCTTGCTCCCTTATCTAGAAGCTGGCGGGTGTTTGAAAGATAGCGAGCGATTTCAATATAGTTTTTTCAGCTTGTCCAAATTGTATATTTGGTTTGGCCGCATGTGTTTGCTCGCCTTTCTGCAAGCCTTGGCGCATCATGCAAACTTCAAAATTCCGATCAAAAATAAGGGATTTAGATCTCAAAACACAATCCAAAACAATACTAAACAATGGCTGCCTCCAGTTCCCAACTTACATGGTTATGACTTCCAAGTTTACAATGAGTTCGGTATTTTCTCCCACTCATCCTGTTTAAGCCTTGTGGGCCCCATTAGGTAGCAGGATTCCCACCATGCCGCTCTAAATGCAACGGGAGACCTTACATCCTCTCTCACCTTTGCTTTGCCCCGTGCAACCGCAGCAAAGCACTCATGAGACGGACCGGTTGTTTACTTTGCAAATACCCAGACACTCCATGTCCATGTATGCCATATATGCCTCCATTGGGGTGGTTTTGGGGGTCAATGTAGGCATATATGGCAGTCCCATGGAGTGTCTGGGATAGATGATATGATACATCCATTAAAACATCAGCAACGGATTGAACAAAAACGAGGCAAGATCCCAAAACGATGACTACCCGAAGATGTTCCATCCGGGACCCCTAGTTTTGCCCAAGTTGTTCTTCCAACAGAAAAGGTGGGCACCCCAAGCCTTGGGTGGGTGAATCCTTTGAAACTGGGAAGATTGCGTGTGTTTCATGTTTTTCCTGGTTGGAGCAGCCAATCCAAGCATCCACTGCCTCTCAGTCTGTTTTGCTCGCAGGTGGACGCCTACTTCAGCCGAACACAGGTGGTGCACACCCGCTATCGACCAATCATGGCGTAAGACGCCTCGCTCAGAGGCAAACGGATCGCAGATTTGTTGCAGAAAAAGGGCAGTCGACGACTGGACCATTTGATTTTTTGCAATCATTGTCATTCTAGGCTACTAGCTAGACCAAAAGCTTAAGCTGAAGTGAGACAGATCAAAATGAAAACCTTTCAAACAATGACGCGGTGTGCAGGATCAAGGATGCAGAGTTCCCGCTGGATTTAGGGTGCTGATTTAGGGGCAGCTTGCCACACTGGACCTTGAACACCAGAAGGACTACGTATATAGTAGCTTCTGCACGACATGCAACTGGTGTGGTGTACCGATGTTTGGTATAGCTTCCAAGTGATTTGACTCTTATTCAACACAAGGCAGATAAGAGGCACCTCAAGAGGCACGGTGCTTCACGCCGTGTTTGCCAATGCGGGCGTCACTAGCAAGTGGGACCTTAGTTGACCACTAGGATTCGAGTCGATCCACAGGATTCAAGGCCTACCATTGCTCTTTAAAAGGTTGAATCCCCAACAACCAATTGTCTTACAAAGGACATTTTAGACTACAACACCAGGCCAAACATGTTTTGTTGGACGTTGAATTGAAGGCGAATCGGTGATGACATCCTCTCACAAAGTCTGCAGATTCAGCATGAGTCACCCGCAGAGTTTGAACATGAGTGGTTGGTGGACTCCAACGGGTCACGTGAGTGTTACCAATGGGTCACGTGAGTCTTCTGACGATGTGAAATCATGGTACTTAAACCATGGCCCTGGAAATTTCTACTTACGACAGCAGAAATGGGCTGTTTAGTGGTTTGCGTTTCACTGAAGAATGTCAAGCCGATCTGTGATCTGATGTCATCTGTGAGGATGGGCAGCCCCTTGACCTACCAGACTTGTGAAGGGCAACTGTAAAAGCATTCCTTGTTTACTTGCCACATCTTTGGCTCAAGTATATAGATGTTTGATGTCTTTCAACTGGCATGTGAGTTGTCCATAGTTGTCCATAGTTGCTTTCGGGGCTCGCCTGCGTTTCAATGCACCCACTTGGGATCCTTGACCGGGGGAGCGCGCACTTCGGAATCAGCCGGAGTTTGGCACCTCCTCTGCCTATCTTTGAAGCATCTTTGAAGCTGCAGCTGCCCTCAGCCCGCAGTGCCAAAGATGGCCACGGCTCACAGCCGCGTTGTCAAGCCAGACCATCGGTGTGCCGCGGCCGCCCCGTTTTCACTCGGCGGCGCCACACCGCGTGGAGCCAGAATCGCAGCAACCTGCGAAGAAGACCGCCAGTTGGCGTTGGTGGAAGCCCAGAGGAGTGAAGCCTGGTGTCCACATACATCGCCCCTGGCAAGTTTGAGTCGTTTCAAGTGACTGGCTTTGCAGCACATTTGGTGGGTTGCAGAGCCAGGTTTTGCCGTCGTCAGTCAGTCAGTGGTGAAGGGTGATAGGTGTTGTCTAAAGAAAAAGATCTTCAGGCTATGACTCGATCTTGACAAGGCTCTTAAATGCATGTCTAGTGCTTTCATACACTCACCGCCCCAGGAAAACCAGCTCTCAAACTGCCACAGTATGGTCATCACCACGGGACCAAAGGGACTTTTCATGACGACGTTGAACAGTCGATCTCAGCCAATCCCCCGAAGTTGGCACTGAGCGGCTGTGTTCTTTTGGCCTCCTCATCTCTCCATCACCCGATAAGGGAAGATTCAGGATGATCAGGCCGAAGGACGTTGAACAAAACGGCCCCCAGGGCTTCTGAGCTGGGTAGCTTGAGGGTGTTTTTGTGATGCTGGGGGTGGTGTGCCGAAGGAATGTTAGCCAGTTCGGAACGTTAGAGAGCGACGGGTACTTGGAAACCATGAAGAATCATCAGTGTCTTGACAGTTTTTGAAATCTGTAATAAGATGGTCGCACAGAAAACAACCCAAGAGCATACATACAGTTCATACGTTACAGGTTGTTCAGTACTCAGGAAGACGTGTATTTAGAGGTTGTTCAGAAGAAAAACAGTACTCTATACTAGAGCCTCATATACAGTACTACCGTACTACACCATCGAACTGAAGACGTGACCCGGGAGATCGATGATTCTCAGAGAGCTCAGGATTTGGGGTGAAGAGATGTCTCTCATTGATAAGCACCTGAGGCACCTTTAGATCCCCTTGGCATCACAAAGATTGTTCTCTGAAAAGGGACGTTTGTCGGGTTGGTCGACCAAAAGTGAGTTGACCAATCCGTTCAATAATCCATTCAATCCACTTGCACACACGTTTCAACTTTCAACGCGATCTCGAACATGCGGAGAGCCTGGGCAAAGGGGCAACCTCGCTCAGTTGAATGACCTCGTGGAACCAGTCGAAATCCGTTTCAAGTGAGGAGGATTGGCTGGTCCAGCACAGTCGATGCCTGAAGAAGGCATGTAGTAGGCGACTGTAATTAGGAGGATCTTCTCACAGAAAATTCCTGGCGAGATGTTGTACCGTGGTATTACCTGCATCAATGCACTGAGAAGCGGAACATCTGCTCTGCAAAGAACCTGCGAGCTATCAAGCCAGGGCCTCCTATGAGCAGCTCCAAGTCACTTCTTTTGGCAAAAAAAGATGGCACGTCGAAACGACGGAATCATGCGGGGCAGTGTAAGAAGATCAAGCAAAACCGTGGGACCATGGGTCGGACACAGTGGACCATTGGTCGACATGGGAGCACAATGAAGGACATCCGTGCGGATCTCCGGGAATTTGGGGAAGAAGGAAAGTATACACCCAAAGGCTCATTGGACCCTCATAGCCAGGGTTTTGACCCTCACAGCCAGGGTTTTGGACCTCAAACATGTAGCAGTTGGTTCGGGTCCAGGGTCGCCTCTGGGCAGTATACAAGTATATGATGTGCATGCGATGTGATGGGACGTGGACGGGCTTGAGATTCTTGCGCCATCTTGCACCAATTGTTTCGGTCCCATGAATGACACAAAGAATCACAAAGGTACCTAATTAGCGCTTCCTGTCGGGGTGCCCTGTCTGGAGACCTGTTTACGTAGTGTGGAGATGTCCTTTGGTGACCCCGAACGGAAGCAGCTGGTACAAAGGTTCCAATTTGATGTGACAGGGAATGGGAGTGATCATACATGGTCCATGCAGATCGGGTGATCAGTATGTTCTGTTCCTGGGCGAATCTCCTCAAATAGGGGAAGAATTTACTTGTTGTCCCGCTTCCTGAATTATAGACTTTTGATGAATCAACCACCAATCAACCACCCTCTTTTGTGTGTGTGTGTGTGTGTGGGGGGTAGATTAATCAAGAGTCTACTGTAAGTCATACATGCTTGGACCTGTTTGGCTGCGCCCCCCACCGAAACCTCGGTCGTCTCTAAGAGTGTACGGTGCAGCCAGAGAGGCCCAGAGAGGGACGAGGAAGTCGGTGTCCACCCGCATAGCCAAGCAGCAAATGGGGTGTTTCACCCGTGGTGAAACCCGTTTAGCCTTCAGTTTGACCATGAAAAGAGGTGTTTTTGATCGGGTTCTGCGGGTTCTGTAGCTCTAAAATCCAGTAGAACATGTAAATGATGTTAGGTAAAGGCGGTCATTAAACAATATTACATAAAATCATGGACTTGGAAGGCCCTTTTCGGTATACCTCGTCCGGATCTGCCGAAACCGACGGTTTGAGGGGAGGCGGAGATGCGGGTTCCAACCCCCCCCCACTCAGTTCAGCAACAGGTGGACAGTTCGGTTCAGCTGCTGATTGGACATGGCTCGGGAGTCAGTTGATAAGGGATCACCATCCTAGCCCGAGTCGCCCACGTATAGATGAAACATGGTTGAACATGTGGTCTTCTGCTTCTCAGTCGAATGTGTTCTGTCTCCGGACCGGTGGTTTTTTTCGGGATCGAACAATCTGCCGGAAGAGATTTGGAAGGCTTGGACTGCTGACGTTCCTGGGGACTTTTATGATAGCCCAGGTTGCGCTTTGCCTTTGGCCTAGTGAAATTCGTTTGGTTTTCAATGGTTCTCATTCTCTCAGCACGACCAGTAATTATATTTAAAGGACTTCAAGCGAACTGAGATGCAGTGAGAACACCTAATTCAGGTCTGAATGGGAACTTGTGCTGGGCGCCATCGTTGAACTGGCAACTCACCTCGCATCCCGATGCGTTGCATCCACCTCACTGACTGTCACTCTTCTTTCGTTTCTGGAATTCTAAGCCATCGGCCAGACAGAATCAGACAAACCGGTCACGCTTCCGCCATGGGCAATGGAGACCTTTTTAGTAGAGTGGGGTTGTCTAGCCAGGTGACCCTTTAGAAACACCTGGAAGCTCTTGGCTTTGAGACAACATCTACATAAACCCCGCACCTGTCTGGTGCCCGCGAGGCCTCCGTTGCCTTTCATAATGATGTCCCGCAGAAGGCCCAGAAGACGTCGAGCTGCATCACTTTCAATCCATGGGTAGCTCGGAGGGCGCCTATGCGTCGTTTGAACAATTTTGGACACCTGAGAACGGCAGCTATTCCTGCCTTGTTGCATCACGCTGCGCTGAACAAGCCCCCAGTCAAGCCCCCTATATAAACCAAGAAGTACGGCTTGTTGTACGGCTCTTCTATTCTGTGATATGAATTGGAGCGACGAACGATTTTCTGTCCCACCCAGCTAGATTGGTGGCCCCCAGCTAGATCGCTGTAGCAACACAGACAACATGGACCCTTGGGAATCGACCCACACAAGACCATTTTCCTCTACAACTATATAAGTGGTTTGGGGGCTTCATGTGGTCCGAATAGCAGGGGACTCTTAAGACTATATAACAATTCAATACTATATAATAAGTGAACAATTCAGATTTCCTTCAGCACCTGAAAGCAAATGCATGGGTGGAAGCTCTATGAAGCTCTTCCCAGTTGTCATACTCTAAGTGGCTGTGACATGTGCCATGCGGATTTTTTCAGATCAGCTTTTCGGAGGTGAAAGACCTAGATTTCGGCTCCGTGCAAGCCAAAATCTCAAGGTCAGGACCAACCAGTTACCACGGGGGCAGTACATCCAGCAGCACCGTGTCGGAACAGCTGCACCCGTTCTCCTCACGCCCGTGGCGTTAGAAGTGATCATCGCGCTGGCTGTGGCTTTGTGGGCAGTTTGAAGAGAGATAGCCTCCAATCTGTTACCACTGGTTGGTTGGTTGGTTGGTTGGTTGATTAATAGAGGGGCATTGCTGATGCCTGTGCAGGATGTGATGTTCTTTCAGTCCCCAACTTCTTTCAGTCCCCAACTTCCATCAGGATTGGCCGCCATGGAGAAATCCACTCAAGACGCAACTTGCGCTGACCCACAGATATGACAGCTGATTGCTCGTGGCGAACACCGCACCGGGAATGTGACATCGGTCGAAAAGGGGCGAGGACCTTCGGCGGCGTTCAGCTCGCGCCGTGACTCGCGGTGATGCGTGTGGGGGACTGCGTGGTGCGGACGAATGTGCGGACGTGGTGCCTCTCGCTGAACTGAGATTTATAAGAAGATCTTTTCAGGCCTCAGAGAGGTGAATTAAGGTACAAGATGAGGTACACATCGAACCAGGACAACACATCGAACCGTGTTAAGGTACATGAATTGATTCACTTGCAACAAGATGAGGTACACATCATTAAGAGATCATGAGACCATCCGAAAGAGAGACACATCGATGGGTCCAACCGTTACAACGGCCTCCATTCACGTGCAACTGCTGGTCAGCACGGATGCCCTGGTCAGCACGATGGATGGATGTGCCATCCAAGAACCACCGAGGTGGTATATCGTGGTAACACCGTCAGCAATCACTATGAATTACTATATGTTTGAACAAGGCCTGGAAGCTAACCATCATCATCATTGTTTTTGGTAAGAGGATAGACCCAACACATCCTGATCAAAGCTCCCCAGCGAAGCAGTTGGCCACCAGTGCTGAGGTTAAGACGTTGAAGAGTTGAGAAGACATTTTTTGAGGCGCGGGTCTCTTGAACCTCAAAATACCCATGAAAAAGTCTTGGCAGATTGTTTCATGAGGCAATCTTGCAAGAATTGGAATGTAACCCTAGACGTCCAAAGGCTCTTTTGGTTGCTTCGGGACTTCGGGAAGGTTCCTGAAACTCAGGTTCCACGAGGGAAAGACTCTTCTTATCTCTTCTTTGAATGTATGAACTCCCAGGGCAAACATTATGCATGACAATTCCAGTCATTTCCAGTCCTTCAATTTACAGTGGTTTTAGAGTAGATGGCACAAACCTCAAGATGTCCTTTAGATGGGGGTCCACATGAATCATATAAACCACCCATAGCGTCATCTGCCACACTCCCTGCCTCTGCGACCATCTCCCTGTCAGCCTCACCTACCTCCGTGGGTTCATACTCGATGTCCTCTACTGGCAGTGGCCTCCAAGGTTCCTCCACCCTGGACATGTGTCAACTGGGTCAAAACTGGTACCAGTGTGTGGAACTTTCGAAGACATCCAAATACATCACACCAAACGTCCAGGTCGGTGTGACACATGGCCGTGGGTCGTGGCAACTGGAGCCCGGAACTCACCGTGGTAGGGTGGACCATGCCAAGTAGTCTAATGGTTTTTCATGTGTGCTTAGTAAACAAACTTTATCGACAACAAGCAGATACTCTTCAGGTGATTGTCCGGTATCTCCAGGATTATATAACTATAGTTGCCCAGAAGCACACAATTTCTTGACTCGATTCGGTTTTTGGAGGACGCATACTGGATTGGGCCTTCCATGACAGTCAAACCTCAAAGCGTCAGATGACACACTCGCATGGATGGCGCCTCCCTTTCATCCGGAATGTGTCAGTCCCCAAAACAAGGCGAACGCCATGGTATTTTCCGAATTGCTGGACGACCTTTCTTATGAGGGAAATATGGTCGTCGGCCAAGAGATGCTTACAATATTGTGGGAGAACAAACAACTCGATTCCGACCTGAATAGCCATGCAGTGACGCTTCATTAGGTGCTGAATTCCCATCATGATCTCAGAAAAATTGCTACGTTCGCTCCCCGGTAGTTGGAGCACCGTTTGGGTTGGTGGTGGTGGGTGTTCTTGTATTTCCGTGGATGTGGTGGTGCAGTGTCCTTGTTTCCTGTCTTTTGTGACTACCATTCTCATCAATCAGGGGCCCCAGTATACCCCTCAAGAGGGATGGGCCCCAGAGAAGGGCAGCGCACGAGTCCGTGGTCAACCAGAAACCGGGTTGATGACCCACAACCCCTGGCCCCCTGAGACAGAAGACGCGCTCCACCCAACAAAAGGTGCCAAGAGAGGTTGAACAGCCCTTTTTAGCCCATCCTATATGTACCACTACAGGGTCCTATATGGTCTCTGAACCTCTCTTGATGTCAAAAGGGATGTCGTGCGCGGGCACGGATTTCGGTGTTCGCCGACCGACATCCCTTCGTCGACATACTCCTCGTTCGAGCAGGTGAAATAGAGTGGAGCCGAGAAGGGCCGACACGAAGCTGCGACACAGAGGGCATCGTGCTCGAAAGAAAGCATCACAGTCGGTGACGCGTGATCTGGGTGAAAAGTGTGAAAAGTGTGGGGTGAATTCCGTCTGACCCAGATGGACTTGCCAAGTCCAAGAGCGGGAAAAGGTGATGAACAAGTGCTGAGTCCGGGCAAAACGGAAAGGACGGAGGTCTGCTTTGGCAGGTCCGGACCGAGTCCGGATGTCGGTGCCCGTGCACGGTGCACCCGGTCTTTGAGAGTTTGTAAACTGGGTATGACTAGGAGATCTGGGGCTGCAAAAGCCTTGTATAGCATGTTTCAAAGCTTGGAAACACAAGCCCATTCCAACATTGGTGATGTCACATTGGTATACTACCCAAACCTCGACCCATGCAGATTCTGAAGCAACTCAGCAGACAGGCTGCACGCTCCGACGCATCCGCTTGTTTCGGCTCCGTCCTAGACCTCGGTCGACGCCTCTGGTCACCGCCCATCCCCTCGGCGGCGCCGAAGCGTTCCGCCGCCAGCCGCAGCCGATGAGACCGGCGATCCTACGTCCGGATGCCCAGGACCCCACCACGGCAGGTGGGGGACGGAGGCCCAACGGATTCCCTTCAGCGAGCGTCTGAGACCTGACGGTCGCCGAGCTTGCGAGTCATGGCCTCCGACAGACGCCTCCAAAAGCCCTTTTCGTAGCTTTTCCTGTGGCGCGTTGGTGATTTGGAGGAGATGTGTGTGGTGCCAGAATGGAGAGTTTTGAGAAATGAGAGTCCAACTCTCCAATGAGGCAAAAGGATGTTTGCAAGGGGCAAAAGGATCTCTACCTAGCGCTTCCTGTCTGGGTGTCCTGTAGGGTTGTCCAGCCAGATCACCCCGAACGGAAGCAGCTGGTACTTGTAGAGGATTTTGTGAGGATGGAATTCTCAGACACTCCATGGGACTGCCATAGGACTGCTTACATTGACCCCTTCCCAACCACCCCAACTGTATGTAAATATGGCCGTCCCATTAGTCGTGTTTGGGTTTTACACCTTTTGTATCCTTTTGTTGGGTGGAAAGGAGCGCATTCTCTCGTGGGCCAAGGCATCCGGGTGTTTGGGTATTGATCTTATAACACTCTCCATCTTCGTGTCGGACCCACACAGAAATGGGCTCTTTCAGAGGTCCACACGGTCGGGTTGACCGTCCGTCCTGAGTCCTTCCTGGTCGGACTGAGGATGTATGAACTGCTGAGTCCTTTCGAAAACTCCGGTGAGTTCAACCAAACCTAGACACGACCCATGAGACTGGCAATCAGTTGGGGTGGTTGGGAAGGGTCAATGTAGTAGGTAAACATTCCATACATGGAGTGTCTCGGACACGCAAGCTCGTCGTTGACGCCAAGAACCACCCTCCCACGCAGCTCGTCCTGAGCTGGCAAACCAGTCGTGACAGTGGCACTATAGCCGTGACGGTGTTTGTTCCGAGTTCTGAGCTACGGGTCGGATCGTCGAAGGGGCTCTTCAGCTGGAAAGACCCCGAGGCGATCGGTTGCAAATGAGGGAGCAAATTCATCATGACCCTGAAAAAAATCTACAACAGACTACAAGACATATGTGAGCTTCCATTTTAGCTGACAAGAATCAGCCAACAGCCTGACAATAAGACTTTGAGCACACTGACTTGGGGACCACAGTGAAGAGACAGATGGGTCCCACACTATTCCCAGCCAGAATTCTCCATGGTAGGTCTTTCTTCACCTTGAAAATTCCAACAGAGGTTGAAAGACCTTATAGGACCCTACTGGGGGACCCATAGGGTAGCCTATAGGGTTCTTCAACCTTTGTTGAAAACCCCCTGGTGCGTGGGACACTTCCTTCCAGGTGCTCCTCTTCTTTGCAGTGCGACTTGGCACGAGAAGTTCTCTCATCGCTCTACTGACTCCATGCGGAACGTCCGGACGGACTCCTCGGTCGTTCGAGAAATTCTGGGAGAGGATTCTAGAGTCTGACTGGCGAGGTCTTTCAACTGACAGGACTCACAGGTGTCACAGGGAACGAACGGATGGTACCATCCCGGAAGCAGTCGCAGCTGGTCAACTGAAAGGATGAGGGAGAATTACTGGGGTCAATGTATGTCAATGTACTGGTTTGGCGATATCGGTCTGGCGGGGTGATCTTTACTATATATCTTATAACTGAATGTGATGTGTACTCTTTTCTGGAGGCGGCGAACTGGCTGGGTGAATCCCGGGTCCAAGCCCTGCAGTTTCGGGCTTGAAACGAGTCGCAGGAATCGGTTTATCCTGCCTGTTCGTTCGGATCTGCTGTCGGTTTACGGCACCAATCCCCCCATGCTTCGCTCCCCTGGGGGACGAGAAGAAAGTAGCCACGTCGGACGCTGAACCGACCCGCTGGCGAGTAGCTTCAGCTGGCGCCATGCAGCTCCGGGCGCCATGCGATGTTCAGGTGGATCTTTTCTATGGGTCCCTATGAGTGGATCTCCCCCAGAAGTGGGGAAGGGTGGCCATTACGAGTCGTTCCCTTCCTTTTTTCCCATCTCTTGTCCCGGTTCCTGAAGCAACTGTCTGAGTGCCAGACACTCCATGTCTGTCATAGGCTGCCAATCAGTTGACCCCTCAAAGGCACCACCCCTGGCCAGATCAGTGGAGTGCCGGCTCCCGAACGTTTGGCATTGGATCATGGGCGATTGATTCGAATCGGGGCTTCGTCGTGGTGCGACAAGCTTGAGTCATGGCTTAAGATCCATACGTTCGTCACCGCATGGCGACAGATTGTACCAGCAGTTCCATGGAGGCCCGGCTGCACCTTCCTTTGGAGGGGTGCGGGGTGTAGGAACGCTCCGAAGGTCACATCCACTTATGGGTATCTTAGAACCAGGCTCCTGGCCCCCCGAACCTGAGAAGGAGGTGGGCCAGGGGCGGGTGCCGGGTCGAAGACCACTGGTCACCGGGTCGGAGATGGGGCGATCGGTGGTCTAGGGGAATGCAATCGTTGCCGGCCCATGACCAGGTCTTCCTGGAGATAGCTGCTGCCTTTGATCTCCTGTCGTCGATAGGCGAGGCCGAAGTGTGTGGGCACGAACGAAGCGGGGTGTGGGGTCAAAACTAGAACCCCGCAGTTTGTTCCAGTGGTGGAAGTTCCGTAGCGTGTTAGGCTTCGCAGAGACTGGTTGGATGATCGACTTTGGCTGCGCTGGTTTGAACTTCACAGACTTGGGGCAGATTTCCACAGTCTTGTGCAAACTCTGCCCAAGACACTCAAGTCGGACCTAGATTGGGGCTCGCTAGCTTCTGTCATTGGGGTTTTGCATGGTTTTACCGCGTGATGCTGATGTTTGAAGTGTCCTTGTAGAGGTCTTCAAACAAATAGAGTCACTGAGTCACTGAGGCTTTGTTTGCATGTTCTTAGACTTCGGTGTGAGCCACGGTGCTCAAGGACTTGTTGTTTGTAACTAAGAAGGGTGTGTATATTTCCCCGACACTCCATGGGACTGCCATATATGCCTACGTACATTGACCCCCCTGGCACCACCCCAAGTGATCGGCATCTATGGCAGTCCCATGGGTCATGTCTGGGTGTTCATGGGGGGGACCTCTCTGGCCCAAGGGGCGTTGGTCTGTTATCCGAACCTTCCAGGAGGGTCGGAACGCCGGCGGTTCGGTCTCCCTGTCGTAGCTGCGGCTACACCCATATCTCGTGCCCCTAGAAATGGAACGAGACTTGCCTTGGCGCGGGCCGCCCACTTAAGTATGCAAATATGATTAAAACACATCACGAAAGCTAGCCTCAGCTAGCTGGAGTCGCTCTTGCTTTAGGAAGGAAATGACAGGGTCGACGGCAGCCTGAAAGACTTCAAATCATTGATTAAATCAATTTTAAGACCCCCTCCCCGCAGGTTCAACTCCCCCCTCTGGCTGAGGTTGACAGGGTCTGATGCTCTCTTGGAGATTCTTGGAGATGGCCATGAGCTTCTCGTCTCATCCAGCTGCCTCATGAACGCTTTACCATAGCATGCCATCACCATGCCCATGCCTCTAATGCCACTCATCATCAGCAATGCCAACATTGCAATCTGAGCTAGTGATTCTGCTTCTGATTTGCTTATGCTCGATGCGTGCACAAGTCCTTGCTGGAGATAGTGCACTATTTGCTCGCCTTCCCTGAGGCACTGCGGTCATACTTTTCGTGCCTTTGCTGCCGCTGAAGTGTGTTGCCTTGAGGCTTCCTGCTCTGTAGAATGTGTGACAATGCTTGTAATGGCACGTGTAGGGGTGCTACGTCTCATTGCATCTGTATCCTACTCTTCTTTCTTAAGCGACTACATTCGCGGCTAGCTCATTCCACGACTCCCCACAGACGAAAGCTCCACACATAGATACCAATGCGGACATACGGCATGCATCACACGCCTCATCATCCTCCGTGCGCTTGCAACCACTGCATCGGGGCACGGTCAAACAAGTTCTTCGTTAAACGTTTCCAAAGAGGCCTGGCCATACCATTAGGCCACATTGCATGGCAGCATCGATGTTGGTCTTGATCTCACTCATCACTTTAAATTGGTTCTCTCCTCATCATTCCTGGCAAAGAGTTCATGCCTCTCAACCTCACTGTCCACAACCATCCCAAATACACTGGTGTATGCAATTTGCAAGTGCGAACCCACATGATCTACATGTTGATGGCGCCCAGCCCCTGTGGCGTCATATTCCATGAGTAGCAGATCCCTCATGGCCTTCCTTATGTGCATGGGACAAGGCATGACAAGGCTCATCGCCCCACCTCATCAAAACCGAGCCCCCCAAATCAACCAGCCTCTAAACCAAATGCCTCAACCCATCTTGCCTGGCCATCCTCATCCATCCTCCTCTCAATGTTACTGGCTAAGTGTGACAAGTCTGGTCCTCCCTTGGAGATGGCCATGAACTTCCCATCCAGGTGAACCTTCTCATCAAGCTGAGCTAATGATCCTACTTCTGATTTGCTTACGCTCGAGCCTGATGTATTGCAACCCAGTGTTGTTGGACCATGGTGTTGGACCATGGCTCCATTAAGCACCTGATGGTGAAATCATATGAACCCATCCTAAATCTCATGGTTTTCAATCTTCGTGCGCATCCACATCCATCCACCCAAGCCTCCACCAGGCCCGTGGGCCTGTGACCTGGATTGGACCCTTCTCCATGGACCCCACTTCCCCTCACAACCAGAAGCTCCCTCATCTTCCAATGGAGCATACCTCACTGGATACCCCGAGCTCCTTGTTTGGAGGCCGCCACCCTGCTCAGTATCGCACTGCTCTTGCGTCAGAGCCACAAACCGCGCCCAGCAGTGGCTAGCTTTCAATCATCCCTGGCCTCAAGGAACAACATATTTAATATACTGTAATATATATGCATATATATTAACATATGAATCTGGCGCACACAGCCCAAGTGCACTTAAAGGGATGTTCAGCATGTCAACTGTGTGTGCGCCTGGTTGTGCTGTGGGTGACTCAAGTTGCCCACAACATTGAGAAATGCATGTTGGCAACGGCTCATAGATTGGCCGCTATGTTTAACTACTACCCACTCGCAAGTTTAGGAAAATGACAATTATAAAATATGTTTTCCTTCTGTGACCTATGAATGGATCTCTCTATATATATATATATGTTTGAGCTCACTGGCAAGTTCCTACTCACGGTCGCGTTGGTCAAGGAAGATTCTTCAATGTGGCATCAGATGAGGCACCGGGGCGGAGGGTGGAACTTAGACGTTGGGCCTATAGGGGCCTTTAGTATCCTTTGGTGTTGGTGAGACGGTTGATTGAAGGGATGTCCGAGGTAAGATGCTCTTTGGAGAATTGGCATACAGTATGTTGGCATGTTGCGTCTGTGTCGGTGCTGTTGAGTCCTGCCGCTCCACACAATCTCCTTTGTCCAATGTTTGTACAGTTGACCAACATGTTCCTGCACAGGAGATGACGTGCGGCGTGCAACGAATTCAACGAATGTGCATAGTTTCTTGTTTTGCGACTGCGGTGATTTCCAAAAAGGCTGATGGTCCAACAAGGACCGACCATGCCTGTTCTAGGCGGTTCCGAGCAGCGAGAGCAGCCCCGCACCCTACGCACTCTTCACGCATGCCAGAGCCCCAGCGCCCTATCGATGGCCGTTTGGAAGTAGAAATACCTCCGATTTTGTGCCGTTTTCAGATGCTGTTGATTCTCCCGAACGGGGTGAATCCCCTGAAGCTGGGAAAGGTGCTCTCTTTTCCACAGGAAATTTTGTAGTTCTAAGTGCTATGACACGTCAGGAAAACAAAGCATTCCAACGCACACATCGGTGGTGCACGGGATGAACTCCAGGCGTTTCACTCCCCACGCCTTAGTGCGTTGGTCCGACCGCACCGAGGAAGCGGGGCAACTCCACTGCGACGACCGCACCTTGAGGCTTTCGGTTCCGGTCCGGGTTGAACCGTGGGTCCGGTGCCCGGACGATTCGGCCCGTTTTGTCCAAGAGAGGTAGTTAAGTGACCATAAATAGGACCCGGAAAACCAGGGGTACCCTGGCCTGGGATAGTCTAGTTCGGGTCCTTCAACCTTTGTTGGGTGTTGTAGACCTGGACCTTCTTAAGGGGTGTCCTGGCTGGAGGTCTAGTGGTGTAGGGCTTCCAGCCAGGTGACCCCGGAATGAAGGTGCTGGGAGATGATGTATCGAAGGATTTGGGGACATCCGCAGTGTCTGGTCTGTAAGTTAAAGGGTGATTTGGAAGAGTACTTCTGCGGAAGATGTGTCTTTGCTTCGCTTCTTCCCTCCGAAAGCAGCTCTTCCATTGACCTCCAGTGAGTGCCAGGGGTGTGCCTTATTCTGAAGTGCCAGATTCACCAGATACCCTGTTTACTTTTGGGTGGCTGAGGTTTGCTTCAGAGATTGGACCCACGGAAAGCTGCGCGCGGCTACGTCGGATTCGCTCGACCCCACGGCGTTTCGGGAGCGTCTCTCGGGGTGTTCGGTGGAGCAGGCACCCATGTGTGGCAGAGCTCAAAGCCTTCCTCGAGGAGCCGAAGAAATGGAAAAGCGCGAGTGACTCTGTCTCTCTCTCTCTCTCTCCTCTCTCTCTCTCTCTTCCTCTCCGAGTGACTTTTGGGATCCATTCAGGGATTCAGGGGGCTCGATGTTTGCAGGAAAATCCAGGCAGTTCCCACGAAAAAAGGCTGGTTTCGTCCGAGTGCGAAACCAGTTCGACCAAACCAGTTCGACCGAACAGCTCCTTCTTCGGCCGCCTGGGCTCCTTCTTCGGCCGGCTGGGATCCTCTGGGATTGGTCAGACGGGTCCTACGATCTCCGAACGACGCTCCATGCACTCCATGAGCAGGCTGAGCAGGCATCAAAGCACGGTGTGGCGGTGTGAGCAGATGCTTTTGCCGCCTGAAAAGACACGTCCTTATATAGACTTGGTTGCCAACCAAAAACAGGGAAGCGAAGAGCGCCCCCTCGGGAGAAGCGATGCCCAAAAAGCGTTGCCCTACTGCCCTACAATCCAAAACATGAAGGATGCACATATGTCATTTGTTTGACTGTTTGACATGTGTTTTTCTTTCAAGAGCTTCTTGATCATGAGAGGCAAGACTCAGCTCCTGTGGGGCGCCACCCTTAGCGATGCCCAAGCGATGCCCTCGATCATGCCAGTCCAATGCTTGCCCACTTAAACAATCCATAAGCTTAAACATCATTAGGCGGGTTTGCAACCAACAACGATGTTGCGGTAACAGCTTGGTGAATGCTCTTAGCTGCTTGGAAAGCTCAGAACTGGTGTCAGCTGAGCTTTGTGCTGTTACCTTCTACTTGAGTGAAGTTGTTTTTGTTTTTTGTATCCTTTGAGTGCTCGTGCTCAGTCTTATGCTCATACATACACTTGTTTGGGTGAAGTCTGCCTTTACTAACTACAGGAAAGCGATGCCTCCCTTCAAAGTTGAAGTCCAAGGTTGTCCAAAACTGAGAGAAGCGATGCGCCCCACCCAATCTAATTATGTGGCATAAGATATTGAACAAGGAGTTTGGACCGCCACACCTTTGCGACGATCCGAATCGACGTGTGGTGCACCCGGATCGACTCGCCGAGAATCGACCAAATCGACTCGTCGCGGTCTTCTCCCTGTCGCTTCAGGACAAGAACCACACACAGAAGCGACAGTGCTCTCCTCAGAGCCCGCGACAGTGCGGCCTTCATGGAGCCGGAGTGGGCGCTTCAGTTCAGTTCGACGGTGTTTCACTTGCCCCTGAAGCTTCAGGAACTCCCTGGACTCGGGTCACCAGTTGACATCTCAACTGGGACTTCCAGGTTCACGTGGAAGCTCTGAACGGAAGGGACGATGAAAGGGACGGACCTCGATGGACTTCGCTCCCCACAGCGGAGGGCCCGGACGAAGTCCGGTCCGCGCGCGACGAAGGAACAGACGGACGGACCCAGGGACCCAGCGCTGGCCGGTTCCCGGATGCGGAGAACGGCAAGGCAAAGATCTGGTCGAGTTGTGGTAGTTGAACGATGTTGAACGCAACAACTGAATTCTTGCCCTACTTCGACAAAGCAGCTAATGACACAGGACGTCAGTCCTGAGTCGGGCTCCTTTGGGCGAAGTTCCCAAACACTCACGCTGAAGACGGGAGCATAGTGACCGGAACCGGAAAGAGATGGAAAGAGGGTCAATGTAGCCAGCACCTCCAACAGCTCGCTGAAATGGCTGAAATGGAGATCTTCCAAGTGGGTCCCCATGGTGATCCTCTTCGAAACCGGTGCTGCTATATACATCATCGCGCCACTCCGTCCTCGCGCCAGTCCGTCCTCGCGCCAGTCCCACACGCGCCAGTCCTCGGCGCCCTGAGGAACGCCTTAAGCTGTGTGCACGAGGTCATGGAGACCTCCCAGGAGCCGAACGACCGAGTTCCGCGCGGCACGGCGCGGTGGCGCGGTCGGCGCGGTCGGCGCGGCACGGAACTGGCGCGACGGGTGCGGAGGAACGGCAGGTTTTCAGGAGGGAAGCCCTCGAGGAGGTGCGAAGACCTGGTATTTCCCTTGGAAAGAAAAAAACAATAAACAGTAATAAACAACATGGAGTAAAAGGATGTAGAAAGGAGTGGTTTAAGGGAAACATCTACCAGAAACTAATTCTTTTCACACCCAAATTCCCATGATGGCTGTCCTGCAGATTTGGAAACCTTCTTGATTTGTTCATTTCATGGAGGGTTTGAGCTGTGAGGAGATGTTTGGTACGTTGGGGGACTACTTTCGTTGCCAGGGGGACCACTTTGAGCAATGGTTCGCGAAAAAAGTGGCTGCGATGTTCGCTGTGTGGACCACTTGTTAGTCAATCTAGCAGCTCCAGTCGGACAAAGTAAAACCTGGTCTGACCAACCTCATGGAGTAGATTTTTTACATGACCAACTCCAGTATAAAATTAGGATGAGGTCCGCCAAGTTTTTTGCAGGTGTCCTGCAGGTGCACCATTTTCCAGCACATCCCAGCCCACGCCTTTTTCCTCAACTTCGTCAACCCCGAAGCCGTTGCCACGACCACATCGACCCCAATAGACCTTACCCAGTCGTCTCCGCATTCTCTCCTCACGAGGACTACTGGGAGCTCAAGAATATGACCCACCTTCTCTTGGACTTGGACACCAAAGATCACGTCTTTGACAAGGACCGGACTCGGTGACTCCTAGGAACGGACGGTTCGCGAGAGACGTGGGAAGGGGACAGGGGGGGCGGGCGGTGACTGGGTGACGTGGATGGTTTTAGGGTGCTCCCACCACGGCGGAGGAGGAGAGATGCCAGCAGCGAGTCGTTGGGGAGGAGAGATTCCAACCGCCGGAATCCGCTCTGATCCTGCATGTTTCATCTTTGTTTGATCCTTCTTGCAGTCCAATAGGAAGCAACCAGTCGAAGGATTTCCGACCAGAGTTTCGACTGACGTTTTTGGATGAAGCAACTGCAAGATGTCAATGGCCTTGCTGGGATCTCTTCTCTTTCATTCTCTTTCCACTCGCCAGTCGAAGTCTCAAGCCTCTGAAAATCGGGATCGAATCCTTATAGTGATGGCTCGTTTCTGGGTGATCTCGATCTCCTTGGACCGACACCTCCAGGGGAAGCGAGATCCAAAGACCTTCCAAGAATCCACCTGGAAACCACCTGGTGGTCCTTGGCAAACAAACACACCATGGGTTTTTTGGTAGGTCAATCACCTCGGCTGCAGTGGGGACTGCACCTACTGGTCGGGGACCGGACCGTCTATCCGCGGACCGTTTATGCCGCCGAAGACCGGTCGAAACACCTTGGCTTTTCATGGGTTGCTCGGGCCACTGGCTTGCTCGGATCGCTCGCCCGAGCGAACCAAGCGATCCGAGCGAAATCGCAGGTCATGTGTTTCGTCGCCCAGGTCGCTTCGAAGGTGAACGCATGGGGAGGAATGGCTTCCTCACCGAGTGAAGTGGTCTGAAACTGGGGAAGACATTTTTGGGGGACAGCCGATCCAGGAACCCCACCGATGTGCACGCGATCCACAAACACAGGAGTCTCGCGACAACGACTTCATCTCTGCGGGCATCGGCTTCGCCAAGAAGCTGTGGCCACCTGAGAGCGAGCAGAATCGTCCAATCGACAGATTCGGTGGTTCCCGGGCAGCCACGAGTAGTATGGAACCGTTTGGGCCCTCGCTTCCGTTGGGTATATGGTTTGAGTCGAACTGGAAAAAACTGTTATAGGTTACTCCATAATGTTACTTCCAACTTCTTTGTGGTTTGCCTGCATCCCCTGGGTGTAACAAGATCTCAGGAAGTCCCCTTTTCTTTCAAGTCTTTGTAGGAACCTGATGTGTCCAAGGAGGTCACCATGGGTTCATTCTCACCTCTGAAGTCCGCACCAGCCTAGGATGGCGCATCCCGAGTGCCTCAACGATTTTGACACCAAGGGAGAGCTCGAGTGCCGCTGCGTACGGAGCCTCAGGGGTCGGAAGCACCCGCTTCCGCGGCTGAAGTAGAGGTGCTTCGGACCAGACCTGGACTGGTTCTGACTCCGAACTCATCATGTTGTAACATGATGCATGCAAAATGGGTGTATATACCAGGGCCCCCGGGCCAGGGGTGTCCAAATATAGCTCCGAACAGAGGTTAAGGGGTATCCATTAACCACCCCTTAGGGGGTCCTGGTATATATATATATATATATTATAGACTATAATATTGTAGGTCAGTGAGCCTAGGGGATCCTGAGGGTGTGTACATATTATATATTGTACACACCCTCAGGATCCCTTTTTTTGATGATTACTCTCCTGGCCTTGAAATTTGCCAAAGGGGGTCTTAAAGAAGATTCAGCTTCACGGTCAACTTGTGAGGACTCCTTGGAAGCTGGGGACGTCTATTTCGGTCGAGCTTCAGGTCGAAGGCCCTCGAATTCATGGCCTGATTTGAATCTGCACCATTGTCAACAAAGAGCCTGCAAGATGTCGTTTTCCAGGCGCTGCAGAAAAGATGGAGACACTTCCTTTCCAGCCACAGTGGCCAACAACAGATTGCCAGGCATGACGTTTGACAAATTGGATATCTCGACCATGATAAACTGATGCTTCGCAGCCAACAAGAGACCAGAGAACCTGTCAAAGCGGGGACTTGTGGTAAGAGCCTCACCATGGCCGTCAGCCATCCTCCAGAACTGGCAAAGGTGGGACCATGCCCACCTACTGACCCGTCAGACTCGCGCTCTTGGTTGTAAATGAGTCGTAAAAGATTCTTTGGGGGTAAGGCGATTCGCAGAGACAAAACCCGCAGAAACCCGGCTCAAGAGCGGATCTCACCCGATGCCGGACTAGTGGTCTACATCAGTCTCCATTGGTCTCCATCTTTGGAAGCCTCTGCACAGTGCCAGATGGAACTCTGTCAAATGAAGGACATGCGCCTAACATAGCCAAACATGAGGCTTCTTCTTCAAACCGTTAAACCGAAGTGTGTGCCTGGAATATGAATCTCCATTGGACACTCCTTGGATGATCCGTGTGAGTGTGTGTGTTCCCGTTAGCTCCTTCCGTTCGACCATTCAAAGAGCTTGGTTGACCTGGTGACCTGGTGACGTGTCAAACCCTTCGCTACAGCACAAGCGGCCTCGCCTGTGGTCGGCCGGTGGGCAGAGAATCCGGCCAGCCTAACCCATGATGGTTGATGTGGCATATATGCCTACCAGCTGCTTCCAAGGGGTTACCAATGAACAACCCTACACTGCTGATAGGTCACCATTGGACATCCCTTGGAAGGTCCTAGTACATTTACCCCATTGATGATCCCAATGTAGTGTAAATATGCCAGTCCCATGGATCGTTTGGGTGTTGATGTCTCCGTTTGCCAAAGCCGTTTGTGTGGATGCCCAAGAGTACTAAGAGTACTTCTCCAGCCGCATGCCTCATCGTTCTTCCTTCGTCCACGTATGGACGCATTAAATCCGATGATGTCCAACGTATTGGATTATATATAGCCCCCCAAATAGATAAGCGAGATAAGAAAAGTAGATCCCCACTAAGAATGTATTGGAAACCGTTTGTATCTATTTGGGGGCAGCATTGTAAGTTTCAGGGACCTTTGTTGATGGTTAAGGTTTCTTGTGTTATGCCTCAAAGCATTTGCTGAGTTCCCATTCCCTCCACATCAGTGGAATACATTCCGTCACAAATTAAGCATTGTGTGGCAGATAAAAGGCTCCAGTTTGTAGAGCAACACGGTCTTCCCTTGAGCTCGTTGTAACCATCATAAACCGATGGTTTCACTGAGGTGCCTTTGTATGGCAAAGTGAGCACGCTGAAGCTCAAGAATGCTGGGAAGTTGGAGGAGGACCCTGTCTCGGCTCCAACGCCCACGGTGCCGACGGGACGCTGATGGCCCACGCCACCCCAAAACGGTGGCGGGTCGTTGAGACGGGAGTGGGAGGGTGGCAACCAAAGACCTGGCCAAGGGGAGAATGGATGCTTCACCCCAATATGTACAGGGACCTTCCAAGAGGTGTCCAATGGAGATCCATAAGTAGCGCAAGGCCGTCCATGAGTGACTCCTTGCATGGCGCTGGTATATCCTTATGGAAGTGGAGGAATTCTATCTATTTGTAGAGGAAAATGGTGATCCGAACCTTGGGTTCCACTTCGATGATGATTGCAGAGAGTGTTCTTCCTATCAGCTAGTCCTTCAGGTAGTCCTTCGGGTCCTCCAGCTGTTCCACTTCCACTTCCAGCTAGTCCTTCAGGTAGTCCTGACAGATCCGAGTAGAGGAATGGTGAGAATCTGCTGAGACACTGCAGTTAGTCTCACCCAGATGAAGTGTGGTCCACTCCTGCAGCTTCAACACCCAAAAGATCCTGGGAGTCAGGTGGACTCGTGATCAAGAGATCTATGTAGATGATTATCAATGAATTGGGTGGTTTGAATTGGGTGGTTTGGACTCTACCCCATATATGAAGTTTTACCATTCAATTTTGTGCTTGTATTCATCAAGAGATCTACATGATTCTGGGAAGATGATCCGTTTGTTCAGACCACAAGACTTGGTATTCTCTCCCCTCCCCACATCCCACCACCCCAATGGTGGGAAAACATGGAAAAAAAAAACCACGTCGCGGGACGTCAATGGCGTGAGGCACAGGAACTGTTTCAGCAAGTGAGAGACATGGCATGGCAAGGCGCCGAAAAGACGCGACGCCCGGACCTCGCGAGGGTTGCCGGATGCGCGACCAGTCAGGTGAGGTTCCCGGATTGGGCAGGAGTGAATCTCCTGAAACTGGGGAAGATCCACCCAAGGTTGATTGAGGAAATCCAATGCACAAGATAAAAGAACTATTTAAATGTTTAAGCCTGGTGAAATCAACTCGTGTTGGATGGTTTATTTTCCGGTTGCGCAGCAGATACAAGTCATTCAGGTCTCACATTTGGGAGCACCTAGCTTGGAGAGATTGCCGAAGGTTTCATGATGCCTGTTCATCCTCCTCTCTCTAAATGGTCTCAAAGTCATAAAGACCCCACCTCATAAACCAAAGAATAGCAAAATATGTAAGGTTTCCTGGCCAAGTCACCTGATGTGTTTCCAAGTCCTGTCACGCAAAAAATACACAGGTTCTCTTTCAGCACTCTCACTGCCAGGTCTTGGAGGGTTGGAGAGGTCAAACCGTGACCAACTTGAGAGATTGTTGGACCAACTTGAGGGACTGCTGGAGTGGTACATCTGGTAGTGCATCTACGAGAATTCGGGCTGTGAAAAACCTCTGAGTCTACCAGACTCTCCCTGAGCAGATTCGGGCCCTGACCGGGGTGTCCTGCTGGAGGTAGTCCAGCCCACTTTTATTAGGAATCATTGGACACCCAAACAGCATGAAAGGGGAGGGTGCTGGTACCCGGTCTCCCGGTCTCACTGCGAGGTCCCGCGGCGCGTCTCCGCGTCTCCGTTCGCAGGTCGCGAGCGCCAGTACGCGCCTGGGGAGGCCGTGCCCTGGGATGTCCGAGAGCTCGGCGCAGTGCGGGTGAGTTTCCCCGGTGAATCCCCCTGAAACTGGGGAAGATTAGTTTTTGGTATTTTGCCGGGGCAGAACGATCCATGTCCGAAGGCATCGGAGATGCGCCACGCCTAATTTGTAGGAGTGTCCAGAGTCCATGGTCCTCCATGCATGGAGGTCAAGAAGGGATATAGGGTCAAAACCTGGAGCCGGCACGGTCATATATGCCTCATTGACCCCTGAAACAACCACCCGTTTGCGGCCTCATATATGCGTGCGTATGCGTGCGTACGTTTCAGGGATGAAACAGATCGGTCACGAGTCGACGGAGTCCACCTGGGAAGTTGTGGGCGGAGATTGGACACCCCTTGGACACGTCCAGGGAAATTGCAAAGGGTCCTGTGTTTTTCTTTGAAACATCGGGTGCCACAAAACAGGTCAGTAATGTGTTCCTGCTTCACTGCTCACATGAGCCACGGGAAAACCACCTGTGGCCAACTTGGGGCGAGCATGGTGTTCCAAACTTTTTTGCAAGTTTATCAGCCGCAAAGTAGCGAAAGAAGGGTGGGTGTTTTAACACTATGTGTTTTCATGCCCTGAGCCACTCAGTTTGGGGTCTGAACTTCAGGCGCCAGGAAATATGCTCAGAGGTTGGTTGTTCTCAGAAGTCCAAAGACTATACTTTTCCTTAGTGAAGTAAAGGAATTTGCCTTTCTGGTCCCCCTAAAGACAATTCCTTTTGTTGTCTTTAAATTATCGTGTTCTTCTTTAAGACCGAAGGGAGCAAAGGTATGCACAACCATTTGGAGATACTCGGAGGCAGATCCTCCCACAAGCCCTGCAACAGTGCCACCCCTGCAAATGCGCACACAGATACGCCTCACTGCTGAGGATTTCCACCATACGCCTCAGATCTGGGTCCGCCGGCTGGAGAGGGGACGGTTGCAGACAGATAGGGCACTGTGCAACAAAGCTGAGGTCACGGATACTCAAAGACTCAAGGATAACTTCTTTGCTGTATGTACAGGGGATCAGGGTGTTTGGTGTAGCCACAAGAGATCAAGAGGGAGTCCAGTTGCCGGGCCGCCTTTAGTCTTCTCGATCTGCTTCACTCGCATCGGGAGACCTGGAAGGCGGATGACTCCCACCAATTGCCCCCCATGCATGTCGCCCTCTACACGCTGCCCTATCCCAAGAAGCACCCGTGTCTTTGGTGGCCTTTGATGTTTGGATAGAGAGCCAGCACTGGGTTAGCATCACCAGTACGCACCGCCCACATGTGTTGGTGTTGGTGTTGGTGTTGGTGTTGTTGTTGTTGTTGTTGTTGTTGTTGTACTAAGTACTAAGTACTAAGTACTAGCTTGTTAACTTGCCCTTGCTTCGGCCCTCTGGTCGGTGTGTTTGGGCATTCGCCTCCGCACGCCAGGTGCGTGGCCTCCGAAGCATGCCGGTGTGGCCGCGCGCGACCTGGAAGGCGTTCGCGGACCGTCGCGCGTCCGCCGGGTCGCGGGTCACGCCTTTGCGGCAGAGGTGTCGCCGGTGTCGGGTGGCACAGGTGAGGTACGTTCTAAAGCTCAGCTGTGATGCCAAGCAAGGAGGTCCTAGAACACAGCTCAGGTGTCTTCCTCCGCCCAGTGACCAGTGTCAGAGAGTCAGAGAGTATCGGGAATGTTGAGAGAAGAGGCCGCCTGGACGTCGACGAGCTAGGAGTCCGGTTGATCGTTGACTTGGTTGTAGAAAGTGGCCCCCTAAGAAAACGAAGAGTGAGGAAGCCAGCTAGCTTTTGGGCATTTGCCCAGCCACCTGCAGATCTCCAGGTGAAAAGAAGAGGGTGCTGCCAGGATCCTCCAACAGGTCTTTAGTTTTTCGGCTTGTTGGCCCAAAGACGAGGTCTGCTGACCGGAGGGGGACGCTGCTTCCGAAGCTTCCCAAAGATTCTGCCGCAGGATTTGCCCATTTGCAGCCTTTTAGAGGAGCACTTCCCCATCATCCAAGAGGCGAGCCCAGTCCAGGGCAAAGCTTGGGAGATCAACCGGCCGGTCTGGGTGCCCCGAGCCGGCCCCCCTATGGCGCCCTCAGTACTTGGTTCAGTATCTTGGCCGTCACTGGACCCCTCCGACTTTTGTAGGATCTTAGAACAGCGAAAAAAAACTGGGTGCGTGGTTTCGGAGATGTTGATGTTCAACCTTTCCGCAGGATGATTGAGCCCATATTTTTCAGAGTTGAAACCAACAGCTAGAAACGCATTTCCTTTGTATCCATGTGGACCGTTCGCAGAGTGTCTAACAGATGGCAGCTCAACCAGATGAAGACTCATCCTCGCGCACCTGTTTGAGCACCCAAATCCAAGTGTTCAAATGATTTGACTACTTGGTGACCCAAGTCCAGGAATTTCCTGAACACTTCGGTGGTGGCAAAGTTGGTCGAACTGGACTTCTATAGGGTGTACCATTCCAAGTGGTGTCCCATGGACCATTAATTCAATCGTCTCACATCATGTGATCCCTGGTTGGTGTCGTGCTTTCAGTGAAAATGGCAGAGCTCTTTGAACCTCGGACCTTTGTGCAAGATGCTTTAGATTTTATGCTAAGCAGAAAAGGCAAAGGGTACTGTAAATGTGGAACTGTAACTCCTCCGGTCTTCAGCTTGTTTTCTGGTTCCTCAGCTTCATTGGCATGACGGGTTCGGGCTACTCGGCGTGTTCCGCCCACTTGCCAACTCGAACTCCCCATTTGGCGACCATTCGAGTACAGTTTGGGTCACTCCCAACATCTGTCCTTCTCAGAAAAAGAGCCCAGTCCATCCCTTCCTGGATCATCCTGTTTGGGTGTCGCACTACCCAGCCCACTGCTCTCGATCTCCAGAGACGCCCAGATGATCGGATGGTCCTGGTTTGGTCGAAACAGCCACGTGACCGCCGGGTTGGTGCCCAGGAGACCGCTAGAGCGCTGGCCAACGAAGCCACATCAGGTTTTGAGGACCAAGTCAGACACCCCAAGTCCGCCATGGGCGAAAATGTGTGTATAGATGAAAATCGAATGGAACAATGAAAAGAAACAATAGAGAAACACTTTAAGGAGTGCGTGGTTTCATGTGGCTTCTCAAGAAACCAAGCCCAGTACCCAGCGCCTCGTTGGTTCGATAAGAGGCAACAGTTCTATCAAGTTGATTCAATTTGGGGATCATAGCGTTGTCATTAGTGGGTTCCATCAGGTGGCTTGTCAGGTCAAACAGCTTCTAGCTTGCAGAAGCAGTGTGCCAGTGTGCCGCAAGAGCGCTTGCGCGCAGGATGCATACCGATTCCTCTACGAGAAGGGGGAATGGAATCGGGTTCTTCTCTACCACGGCAGAAAGTTCACTGAAGAATGCCAGATCCTTAGATGATCCTTGTTTATCCTTAATCTATGATTCAGATCCTCAATTACTAGCCTTACTGTTGACAGTTGTTTGATCAACGCCCGCCCAAAGTCTAGAGGTGCAGAACCATCCTGGTAGGGAGTTTTGATTCGTGAACAGTTGACACCAGCAGCTTCGATCTTGGACCTTCTAGGGCCATGAACCGCGGCCCTTTGCTGCGGAAATCCGACGCGACCCAGGCGACCGTGTTTTCCCCAAGACCTGTGCCCTGCTCAGGCCGGGTGTCACCAAGTCAGATTCATATTAATGGGGCAGGGCAGGTGAGGAATGAAGCAGAACTACCCACTGCTCGTTGGAGGTCCGAAGAATCCAAGAAGTGCCCAGTGGAGAAAGTCTTGCTGAGTTTGGCAATGGTGCAGATTGCACGCCTTGAGCCACGAGATATGGAGGAAAACTTGGCTGCTTGTGGTCTTTGACTTGAAGGGGCTTGAGATGTTTTAGGACAGTATCAATGGCCAGGGTCAAAGCCCCGGCCTGGGCATCATGAACATGTGCAGCAGCACCAACCAACTTTGCTGGGCAGGACCACCGAACTTGGTCTCGAAATGTCTCGAAAAAGAGGCCCAAATGGCGCAAAAGCCCAGACCCCAAATGGCCCAAACCTCTGGGCAATCCAGCGAATCTTTGGGTGGATGTTCCCCTTCGGAACAAAGGCAGGTAGTAAGGCAGGTTTGGAAGTAGAAGAAGGCGAGGTGTCGGGGCCAACCTCTTTCCATTCTGAACCAACCAGCGAAAGGGGCCAACCGAAACCATAGAGAACTGGTCCATTCCTCATGTGACTTGAAGTCACCATTAAAAAGCACGCTTCCCAGCTCAAAGCCTCTTTCTTTGATACTTCAAAAGGATGAGGTTCCCAGAACCTTGTCTACAACTTGGGGTTGTAAAATTGGGAAAGCACACCTCTCCCCATCTCTCTCTCCCCTAAGAGGCCCTAAGGATATCGCTAGAGAGGTCCCTTGTCCATCACTCGGATGGAGGAGATGGAGGGAAGTGTTGGCTTTTGTGAGATTTGATGGATTGATACACTATGCCACCAAAACAATACGTCATCACACGATGAACAGTGGGTGTTCTTTTCGTGTTTTTGATACACTATATGATACACAGGTCATGAATGTACACCCACGCCTCTGCCAGGAAGTGGCTTCCATCAAAGCCTGGCTTGCCCTGGACATCGGACCAGAATGAGCAGGCAGGCGAAACACCATGTGCAGCAAGAAATGCCTTGTGGGTCAAACATTTTGGAGCCTGCTCAACCCTACTGGTAACGAAACAAAAGTGGAAACGATATAATTTGTGCAACCCTGGGCTTTACCGTTTGAGTTTTCAGCACCCACGTCAATCCCCAAGTCCATGTCGAGGTCATGGTCATCAAGATGAAGCAGGGCACGGATGTCGCCTTGCTGCAAATGTTGCACAGCAAACATGCCGGTCGTTGCATGCAGCCACGCTGTCAGCGCAGAGTGCTACAGGCCCTGGCAGAAATGGGTACAGGCCTGCATCAGCGGATCAATCCTTGATCATTGAGAGCAGAACATCCACCTCACTATGAAGGACTGACAGAAGGTTTTACAAATATGCTTCTACCAGCAGTCACAGAGCTCGGGGTGGTGTGGCTTGTCCCATCCAGTGAGTGGAGTAGCTGGGCACCCCAACTTCCTCCAAGTTCGGCACCGCTTAGGCACCCCGACCTGTGACTGCTGGTCTATGATGTTTTGTGGAGAACAAAACATACAGGCATCCTCTTCCAGCACCATCCTGCACCATCGGATGCGGGTTGCTGTGCCCCCGGACACCCGTTCACCCCCGCAAACCCCCGGAGCACCGGAGCACTCGACCGTTCCACCGACGTCGTTTTCAGCGGTCTCCCTGGCACGGGGTTCCCACGCGCGGGTGGGGGCCGGAGCGACCAAGGTGGAGACCCATTCGGGGCCGGCCAACAACATCCTCAACATCCACCTGGGCATCTCGGGGCTGGAGGCGAGCTGAGCTGTGCAGACGACAGGAAGAGAAGGGACAAGAAGGGGCGAAGTGCGGCGAAGTGTGGAGGCCAAGAAGTGCCGATTGAAACGGATACAAAAACGGGTGGAAGCATGGTTCGGATGTTTTTTCTTGGAATTGAGTGATTGAATGGAACCCTGTTTGATGAATTGTGACATTCAATTGTGTGTAGTCGAACACCCACAGAATGTGTTGGTAAGGTGGGAACATCCACCCTCTCGGAACGTGATTTGAAAGAGGAACGGCTGACTTCAGATTCTTCAGCCGGAATTTGGGCCCTAAAGTGTTGCAATTGTTTTTTCCGGATGCTTCCCATGTTGTTGTTGTTCTCCAAGCCTCCAGGCGTCCTCCCTCCTTATCTTCTCTACCCCTTCTTGGCGCCCACGTTCCCACAGGGCGCCAAGCTCTTCGTGGCCAACGAGACCTATAGCTGGGATCAGGGCAAGGTGCGAACCGAGGAAATCCGAACGAAAACAACACGTTTATTTTTGTGGGGGGAAGTCGTTTTTTGGGGGGTCGTTTTTGGCTCCAACACATGGAGCGTGTGGGACACGTTTCCATCTGACAATGTAATTAGTTTGAGAAGTAGAGACCTCTGTGTTCCACCTGGGTCAACTCCGGTTAAACCCATCAACCGGTTAGAAGCTTTGCATTTTGTATGCTCGGCCTTGCATAAAGGGTCTTTTTGCGTGACTCATCCCCCTCTTGTACACGCATCCACCCAGCGCTTGTAGACCAGCCACCGATCTGGTCTTCTCAATCTGATCTTCACGTATCTTCACCCCAAAAAACGCTGGAGCTGGAAGAAGCCGTCAGAAAGCTCCGGGAAGCTTCGGGCGGGACCTCGGGCCTGGCGGGACCTGCGGCCAACGCCTTCGGCCAACACATGCCTCCAATGTTGGAAGGTCATCGCCTGGGATGGTAGTTGAGAGCTCAGCCCTTTCAGCCGCCCTGGACTGTGGACCCGCCGTGCGTCGCAGCCGGAAATTGGAAACGAATCAAACAGCGAGGACAGGCAGGCTGAGGTGATGAGGGTGATGTTGGGTTCGGTTTGAAGCCTTGAAAGACAGCTTTCGGGGACTGAGGAAATTAGAAGGATCTCAAAGTCTCTCAACTTCTCAGATCCCTACCGGGACCATCCTATTGGGTGTCTCATGGTGTCTCCATAGGTCTGGCTGGACTACCCTACACATCCCTAATCCCTACACTACCTAGCAATTTGCAGACAGGATGGTCCAGGGAGGTTTCATTGAAGAAACGAACGGTTTCTTATGGTTTCTTCCCCTCACGGTTTCTTCCCCTCAACTTTCTGCGGGACCCGGGACCCGATGTTTGTGTCTACGCGTCCAACGCGTCGCGGTCCGAGGCTATGACCACCGAGTTCATTGCCTAGACTGCAAGGAGACACGAGTCGGAGGCTTAAAGAGCACCATTGCCAGACCATCCATGACTGGCATATTTACCTACATTGGGGTCATAAATGGGGTAGATGTAGGCATATCATATGCCAGTCCCATGGATGGGCGTTGGATGGTGAAACATCGTGAAACAAGACCCAGGCTTCTGGCGCTGTGGCGGGGGTGTGGGTTTTTCCGAGTGGCTGTGGCTGACTTGGTGGCTGTGGCTCGGTCCATTAGGTGCCCCCAGGTGCCAGTTATTTGGGATGGGAAGAACACTCCTGGTGGATTTGTCTTAGAAAATGTGACCGTTAGAACTGCTGGTGGTGTTTATTGAATAACTGGTTGTTGCCAAAGGTCTGGTAATCAGCTGCTCCATGTTTCATAATGCGATTTGGACCAGAACATGAGTTTGGCAGTTTGGCAGTCACAACCTCTCTGTGGGTCTGAAAGAAGCCTGGACATCGACTGAGAGATGGAGAATCACCAGCGACATTCCTTCGAGTAAACGGGACACGCCATGGAATTCCACGGCGTCTCTTTGAGTTTCCCCAAGCACGAAAAGCACGAACCTTCCTTTGGACCATTGAAATCATGGGTAAGACGGTAAGACCTGAGTGTTGTAGTTCAACATCCAAAGCAGCTTTGTCTTCTTCCAGAGTCGAACCCTTAAAAATCACTGGTGGGGCTGGTGAAAAAGGCCAAGAGTTTGGGCCGTTCTTCGCGACGAAGAACCAAGACGTCACTCCAAAAGGGTCGAAGACGTAGAAGAATCGATGCGACTCAGCCAGTCGGACTGACCATCGAACTACTGCACGCGAAAATTACAACAAAACCTGGTGGGCGCTTTGGAAAGAACTGATATTATTTGACTGTTTGACCTCAACTTTACTTGACATGATGTTAGGAGCCGACCATGCAAAAAGTCGGGGCTCCGGAATCCCATTCTGCGTTCCTCTTCGTCGCCAAGAAGGGAACGCATATAAACTAATTGTTTCACACATTATAGCTACAAAATGCTACAAAATATATCTGCCTACTTCAGCTGCACCAGGACTCATAAGGATCCCACACAACTCTAAAGCTGTATCTTTTGCAGCTCATATGATTCTTTCCCCGAATCTTCTGCTTGTTTTGCACCTTCATGTCGAGGTCATCATGATGGTGAGATATATGCATCCGGACATGTCGCCGGAGCACTACAAGGCGCGAGAACACCCACCAAACCGGGTGCCGTGGCAAGCACCACCGTTGCCGAACGTGCGCAGGGACACACGAGGACACACTTCGAAGAGATCCCCATCGAGATGCAGTGAGGATCCTTTTGAATTATTTCTTAATGCGGAATTGCCCAAGGCGGCAACAGACAGCACAAAAAAAGGCCTGTGTGCTTGTTGTTGCGCAACAGCACATTGGGGCCTGAGCTTGTCTCCCTGTGAGATCACAGAGAGCAAGCATGTTCATAGAGGAGAGTTGCTTGCTGGTTCGGTCAAGTGGGATTGTTCTTGGCAATGTGGAAACGCTCTCAGACGAGGACTCATCGTATTTGATCGGCAGATTTCGGTTAAATATAGAATATAATGAAGCTTGAGTGCTTACGGCTTAGGTGGCTCAACATATATCTCAACATGCAAAAGGAATGAACTTGGTTGATTTGCCCAAGTCATTGTTTGCTTTGAGCCCTTTTTCGGGCCAGGTGAGGTTGGTTTCCCAGAGCAATTTGAAAGACTGACCATGTCAGGCGTGAATCTCCGAATGGCTTCGAAGCGGGCAGATGCCTTGAGGTGTGAATGAGGATGAGCCAACCTTGATATCCAAACAGATCGTCTGAGTTCAGTCTTTTTGTTGCCAACAGCCCATGGGCCCACTACCGTGAAAGTGTTTCTTTTACATTGTCTTTCCAACTGTTCCACCTTCAACATCTGTGGCAAAATCACCTCCCGTGCCACACAGCAGTCCGTCCTTGTTCATCACCCTCGCAGATCTCGCATCGTCCGTCCTTGCTCCGCTGGGCCCGCTGGGGTGGTGTAGCCACGAGCCACAGCCAGCCGCAGCCAGCCGCAGCCAGCGGTGCTTTCGGATCGAGATGGAAGTTTCACCTTCGACTTCGAAGCATCGTCGATGTCTTGATCAGCAGAGAGATCACGCTGGCGTGAGGTCCAGGTCAGGGGCATGAAGGAGGAACAGGGGCAACACATGGACACAAGGCAAGACGTCTTCAGCATTTTCTGTGCATGGCCACCAGATGGGGTGGCCCTGGTCTAGATGAGTTGGCTCTTATTTTTGTTGCGGTGAGGCGTCTGGTAGCAATGCGGTAGCAAGGCATCTCTCACAAGATCTCGCAAGGGGATAGATAGACTGGCCTACCAGCAGTCACAAAGGGGTGCTTAATGGAGGTTAGGGGTGCCCATTATCCACTCACTTAGGAACTAAACACCACCCCTTTGTGACTCCTGGTATTTTCCTTTTTCCAGAATGTCCAACTGGGAGGTCTTCCTATTTTAATACACATCTAAGATGGTTTCGGATATTGTTATTTTCCACCCTTACTTGGGGATGATTGGACCTTTGACCAATATTTTTCAAGTGGGTTGAAAACACCAACCAGACATCCATATTAGGCCCGTGCTATCCTGAGCTGCTATCGCAGCTCACACCAACCGCAGCTCCGTAGGCCATGTTCAGCGGTGCCACGCTGTTCCGATGTCGAAGACCGAAGGTGTTAGTTATGACGCTAAGCCTTGGTCAGACCCAAATCGAGCGGCGAAAAGAGAGGACGAAGCGCCGTTCCGAAGCGCGCCGTGCGTTGAGAGATGAAGAGATGGACGCCAGGTGTTCCAACAAAGAGGTGGTTTCGCCGGTTCTTGGTCTTCAATGTAAAGCGTGATTCAGTAGGCTGGGGGAACTCGGTGCTGGTATTCTCCGGCCCCCTGCCATCCTTGGCAGGAAACACACCTTTAATTTGAACCCAATTGTTTTTAAGGGTTTTCAGGCCTGCAGCTGATTTAGTGTCAGGAAGCAAAGCTAGCAGGATTGAGGTTGAAAGTTATGGTGCCACAAAAAATCGCCCACCCTCCCTCCCTGGATTGTCTGACAAGTTCCAGGCCATAGCACAGGCTGATCTAGGGTTGTTGCTTCCCAACCCAGGTGTTGGTGGTTGGACTTGGGGGGCTTTGCAGCTGCTGCATCCCACCCCACTTTGTGGCGAGCATGCGTCCAAAATACGTTTTGCTTCTTGGTCTAAAGAGAAGGGGTGTTCTAAGGTTTCCCAGATTGCTCGTGCTTGTTCTAATTGAGATTAAAGTTGAATCATACCGCTTTTGATCCCCCCAAGTGCCTTTGAGGGCCAGTTGCGTTGAGTAGTGCTCCATGCTAAAAACATCACACGTGAGACACTGGCACGCCCGAACGAGCCGTCAGACAGTGCCTGTGGTCGAACCTTCAAAAGGGTGACTTCTTCAAGAGACGAAAGGCACTCCCCCCATGCGGCCATTGGGTTCGAACGGTCAAGATGCTCTGATCAGATTCCGGCTCGGGACTCGGATCGCGGACCTGACCAGACCAGACCTGAGTAGGTGCTCAGGGCTTCCAAAAAGCAGCAAGGGCTGTGTAGACTCCTCATGACTCCTCCATGGTGTATACTGCAAATGTCAAACCAATATAGGAGGAACATGTTGCCATCGACATGTGGGAGGCCACAAGTAGCATTGAGAAGCAATCATCACGATAGTATCGTACTTGAGAAGGCATCCCAAGATGTGCAAACCCAACTGAAGAATGCGTACTTGGACAAAAACGCCCAGCACCGTCGGGCACCGTCCGCTCCAAAAATCAGATTTGGGTGCCCAAAAAACACCGTCCCGCGTGAGGGATTGGTCTTCAGCCCAGATGAGGAATTAACTTGGGATTCGGAGTGTGCATCAGATGTGTTGTCCGGCCTTTTGGCACAGGGATGGAAAACCATGGACAGGGATGGAAACTCCAAGTAATCCACAAATTGGCACAAGGATTCTGTAGATTGGGCAAGCCCATGATTTTATCATCGTTCATCAGTGAAATGGTGTTTTTGTTTATATAAGAATTGGTGTTCATCATGATGAACAGCAATTTCATGTTTATACACCAGCAGTATCCAGCAGTCACAAAGGGGTGCCCAGAACATCCACTCACTGGATGGGACAAAACACCACCCCTATGTGACCCCTGGTATGTTTTATAATGATTCTGTACCAGCACCCTCCAACAGGTGCTTCCTGGTGACAAGTCCGGTGCCCAGGTTCACCAGCTGTTAGGGTCTCTAAACAGCCTGACCAAAAGAATACCACCCCTTGGGGGTCCTGGTAGATGTCCAACACTTCACCTGTTTTTCGTTGGAAGGTCATGCCGTCGCACGCACTTTTCGTCACGCGCATTTTGTCAGGCCGGTTTCATGGCCTGGGAGAGGCAGGATGAAGTGAAGCGGCAGAAGTGCTGGCGTTCTTTTTCGGCAGAGCGCCATGTGTGATGTATTTTGTTTGTGGGTCTTTGTGGTGGCAGTTGTTTGTGTATTGTGTTTTGTTTTTTTGTAGTAACTCGTATGTCTTTTTTCTCGCATGTTTTTGGATCATGAGGCTTTGGACTGTGCATGAAGGATCTTAACGACACGTAGTGCATCTCGCTATCCACAAGAACGAGGGTCACACGTTTGGGTTTGAAGTAGACTTTGCTCTAGTCCGAGATCAAGTCCCCCAGATGAAACACTGTGTTTTCACCATGGTGTGAAGAGGGAAGACAGGACTTTTGTTGATGTGATGCAGATCCCATGGAACTCTTCAGTGAAGAATTGTCCCCAGATCCCATCTTCAGCAAACTTGGGCATCGATCGAGCGTTCATGTCATGTCCCTCCGAAGCACGAAAGAACACACACCTTGCCTTTGGGGGTGACCAAGAGCGGCTTGATCAACACCTTCTTGAGATCTGTGACCTGAGTGGAACTGGCAGTCACTGAAATCGCCTGAGAACCCGCTGGACACATGTGGGGCGACCCAACGGACGACTGTCCAATCATGACCGAGCCCGACGGGTAAAGTGGGCTATGGCATTTTATGACTGCCAGGCTGGGGTAGTTAATGAGTCCAGGTCCGGAAGTTCAGGAAACCAGCTCAGCACGGAAGTTCACCGAGCGCCACCCGTGTGTCGGCGCGAGGCTGGAGGAGGCCGTTGAGGCTCAAAAAGGCCATGGCTGGTGCGGGGCCTTAGAGGTGGTTCGAGCCAAGCTGAATGACGAGGGTGTTCCAAGAAACATCAATCAAGCCACCCAAGGGGCCTACGGCGGCCTACGGTAACCAGGAGCTAGAGGGAAGATAGACGATCAGATAGACCCTTCTGCCTATATATATCCTTCTTTCCGACCACCCACACTGGCTGGTGCTGGAAAAGACAACATTCATATTGACGTGAGGAAATCCACCAAAGATGGGAAAACCGTTTTTTCCCGACAAAAGACGTTTATTTTGGGGAACTGACATTTTTGTAGGTTCTTTGGTCTTCTGGTAATGATCTAACCATAGACTTAGACCTGAAGCAGCGACTCCGCACCACCCGCGAGTGAAGAAGCTCCCGTGCGCCCCCAACCCGCGTGGTCTTGCTCACAGCCAGGGCTGGTCCATTGTGCGCCGTCGAAGCTCCTGAAGGCAGGGAGAAGGAGCCCTCCGGGAGGATGGCCCCCCCATGTCTGGCAGGATCCGCCGATCCGCCCGGTGGGGTGTGCCATCTGTTTGGGGCATGAAACGGACGAAACCGGTTGCTGTTTATCAAGTTACAAGATGGTTGGGGCATGAAACTCACCTTGAACGCGGGAGATGCATCCAGGGAAAAAAAGACAGTCAAGTGTAAGGATATGACGTGGGCATGGAAAAAAAATACCATTGATCACCGCCATTGTCATGAGAAAACCCATCGAACACCCGACAATGGCGCGTAGGCGAGGAACTGCTGCTCATGGTGTCGATCCTCAGGATCCGAGCAACGCACGCGACTGGCGCGACCGGTTTCGGCGCGCGGGTTCGGCGCAGCTCTGGGCATGGCTCCCACCACCCAAGAGCTTCAAGGAGCCGGCGCCGTGGGCGTGGGTTCAGTTCCACGGAAGAGTGCAGTGATTCATTGAGCCAAATCTAGTACTGATCTTGAGTGCTGATCTGGCTTCCCAAATCTCGTAGTGATTCGTTATGATTCGTTGGCTTCCCTGGTACTGATCCTTTGAGCCACATCGATCATCGACAGCAGATGGACTAAGCGCTGTCCTTTCCCAGCACGCCCACGAAAAAACACCCGCTTCCAGTCACTTCCAAGGAACCTCCACCCAAAGCATCCGCCCAGACATCACACCAAAAGTATCCATTCACTGAAGAACGAACACGTCTTAAGTCGTCTTAAGTTGTTTTCTGACCCAGACCATCCCCCCCAAAACCATCCTGAGAGACCCAACACCTTCTTTCGCCCCCTCGGTCCGTACCCTTCGAATGCTTCGGACCCGCACCGAGCACGGTGGGACCGGCACCGACCCAGGTGGGCGGCTCAGCGCCCTCGAAGCGAAAGAGGTCGACCGACTTCGAGGAGCCGAGGGGGAAGTGGGTGAGCAGAGTATAGGTCCGGATGTCCCAACAGAGGTGGGTCAGGACCTTAAAAAATAGGACCTGGAAAACCTGGGGGACCCTACTGGGATAGCTGAACTAGGGTTCTGACCCACCTCTGTTGGTCCTCTGTTCGTCTGGGGAGAGGCCGCGTGAGGAACCAGGGGTGTGGCGGGGTGTGGCTGAAAACATGGCCGGGCATGGGGTGGGCAGGGCTGGAGTGCAGATGATTCCATGGATGTTCTTCGATCTACGTTTGGCCGCTTGGCCCGGTTACTCTTCTTTGCTTTTCAAAGTAGTTGTTCTTTTCCCAAGCTGCGCCCAGGCGCAACTGGTCTCGGTGCTTGGACTTTTGGGTGGTGCTGATGAGTGTTTGGTGTGTTTTGTGAGTTGATCCTATCCAGGGATCCTTTGTCTACAATTAGTTCTCCATTGTTTATTTCCTCATTGCTCCCGTTATTTTTGCTCGCTTCTCGCATTGAGGAATTTTGATCGAATCTACTTGGTGCTTAAAGTGGTTGGCAGATATTCATTCTTGCGCAATTTTGCCGTGGCTTGGACATTGGACATCTCCCTTGCCCCCCTGCATGCCGAAGTCAAGCCCCCGACTCTCGAACACCCCCAAGGTTGGAGGGCCAAGCAAAAAATCATCCAACACCAGAGACTGATGTGCCGGGGTGACCGATTTTCCGCCGGCCTTGGCACTTTGGGCTCCTTTTTTGTTTGAAAAAGGCAGACAGTCTGAGACTGCATCTAGTCTTCAGTCTTGACTCTCGTCGACTCTGTAAAAAATCCCTGCTTAATCCATCCAATCTGGAGGCAGAACGAGGTCCTTCCCTCCGTGCCGGATACCGTCTTGCTCGACCGAACGAGGACCTCCCGGGAGACGACGTGCCCATGGAGCTTTGGTCTCGGCCCCTGCGAGGTGCGCGCGAACACTTAGTCGACCGGCAGAGCACGGGAGGAATGCTTTTGATAGGGGACTCAGAGGACTGGGATAGGGACTCATGGGACGGGGATAGGTTAATTTCAATGTTTACTTCTAATCAGTGAAGCAGGGTCATCAATTCGGTAAATGATGGTAAGTGTGGGTCTGTAGCAAGTAAAGGTTGAATTCTAGTCTGGGGTTGGGCTTTGAAACACTGCGTGGGACTGGAAACGTATGCCGATCAGTAGTCCACCAGCCAAATGTAGGCACATATTCCCTAGGGCTCCTGGCCCATTTCCTCAGGTTCGATGGTATTCGACCTTCCTGGCACTCACCCCTGGCCGGCATAGGTATCAAAAAATAGTAAAACGAGCATCAAAAAAACAGGTAAAAAGAGGATCAACATAAAAATTGAATCAAAAAAAAGAACATATTCCTTGATAGGCCTCTTCTGCTGCTCTCCTGGCCCTGTGGTTTGCGGGTCCTCTGATAATAAGGTCCCTTGGTCCTCTGGTCCCTTCCTTGGTCCTTTGGTCCCCGGGTCCCTTGGTCCTTTGGTCCACTGGTCCCCTAGTCCTCCGGTCTCCTGGTCCTATGGTCCGCTGGTCCCCTGGTATCCTGGTCCTTCTGTCTCCTGTCCGCTGGTCTCTTGCTCTCCTACTCCGCTCGTCTTTCGGTCTCCTGGTCCCCTGCTTGCACAAATAGAGGCTTGATTGCTTTCTACTATAGGCAGCTCCCTGGGAGGAAAGTAGGTACCCAATGATGGTAGCCGTCCAGTCATTGAGTAGCCTTACTCGAAAAACGGTTCACCAGTAGAAATAGCTCCCTACTAGGAAGGAGCTCCTAGGGAGGTACACTCTCCTAGTCCCCTACTCCTTCCATCCGCTTCCCTTGGTCTCCTAATCCTGCTACTGCTACTGCTACTACTACTACCCCAACCATCCTCAGTGGGCTAGAACAGTTTTTGTTTGATCCTTTTTTTTTGCTCCCCGTTGAATATGTTTTTTGATTCTATGTGTTTTTTTTTTGATCCCTTACCCCCCCCTGGCCCGCCGAACCTCAGGAGGTGGGCCAGGAGCCCTAGGGATCACACCTGCATCTTGCAACTGTGATCAATTTCTGAATGATTGTCGATGGGCCAAATCTACTGAGGGGGGTCCACGCGTTTTTCCTTTGGCATGGACTGCGAAATATATTCAAGTGACTTGTTCTGCAGCAATCGCAGCATATAGGCTTTTTTTGAAGCGGACATTCTTGACGCACAAGTGTCCCATTGCTTTCAGCATTTGTCGGAACAAACCTTTACAGTTCATCAAACGAAGATGAAGATGAAGCACATGAATGAAGATGAAGATGAAGTTCATGAATCGAAGATCAAATGTTGATGTTGAGGATCTAGCCCAACGTCGTGGCCCGCCACCCCACCCCCCAACCCCCTGTAAACAGAACATCACCGTTGTGTGGTCACATAACACTACGTTCGATCACCTTAAAGGTCCATAACGCCGTCGACACATGAACCAACCCCGAACTTCCCCCAGCTGACGATCTTCCGCCAGCTGTGCTCACCAGCGGTTGATGGGTGTACCGTGACCTACACAAATGGTTTTGGCATATTTTTTTCTCGCACACATCGCAGCTTCTGCACGGATCGCTGTTTCGGTTGCACACCCCACTGTCTCCCCAGTGTCCTTCTGACATGAGGCATGCCTGCAGGTTGATGTCATTCGGAAGCAACCTTATATCATTTTGTATCCAGCATCGATGATCCACAACATAGCGTTGATGGGTGTGAGAACCCAAATCCTTCCAGCTCATTACGAACCTGGACATCAACCATTAGGGGGCCCCAGATCCAAGAAGAAGCCCAGTCAGACACGGCGACTGTATCTTAGGGAAAGGTCCAAAGGTATATTGCTATTCCGAAAACACATACGTCATTGCACCCCTGTGCCAGACAGGCGGTACCCAGCCGCCTTGGGTGCGCTCAGTCTTGGCCTTTCCACCGAAGCCCCGCGGGGGTGCCAGCCTCACCACGCTGAGCTCGGGGCGGCCTGGCTTGGCTTCAGACCCATTTTTGAATGTTTCCCTATGGTTGAATCGCCCTGGCGTGGAGTATTAAGCTACTAGGAACAAGTGCATCGCTTCTAGTAACAAGTGCCTTACTAGTAGTAACAAGAAGCTATTACAAACAATTTACTATGGGTGAATCGCCCTGGCGTGGAGTATTAAGCTACCAGGAACGAGTGCATCGCTTCTAGTAACAAGTGCCTTACTAGTAGTTTCAAGAAGCTATTAGAAACAATTTACTATGGTTGAATCGCCCTGGCGTGGAGTATTAAGCTACTAGGAACGAGTGCATCGCTTCTAGTAACAAGTGCCTTACTAGTAGTTTCAAGAAGCTATTAGAAACAATTTACTATGGGTGAATCGCCCTGGCGTGTTATTAAGCTACTAGGAACGAGTGCATCGCTTCTAGTAACAAGTGCCTTACTAGTAGTAACAAGAAGCCATTAGAAACAATTTACTATGGTTGAATCGCCCTGGCGTGGAGTATTAAGCTACTAGGAACAAATGCATCGCTTCTAGTAACAAGTGCCTTACTAGTAGTAACAAGAAGCTCTTTGAAACAATTTACTATGGGTGAATCGCCCTGGCGTGGAGTATTAAGCTACTAGGAACGAGTGCATCGCTTCTAGTAACAAGTGCCTTACTAGTAGTTTCAAGAAGCTATTAGAAACAATTTACTATGGGTGAATCGCCCTGGCGTGGAGTATTAAGCTACTAGGAACGAGTGCATCGCTTCTAGTAACAAGTGCCTTACTAGTAGTAACAAGAAGT